TATTTGTACTCGGCTCAAAACAGGTAGAAATGGTCGGCAAAGCCTCGCTTTCTACCTGTTTCTAAGCCTTGTACAAATAAAATTTATATTTCGAGACAATGTATGGTTATTCTATATTTACATGTATGTTTCATAAGAATCCGTACTTTTGATTGGGTGACAACAATCGTGAGGCATGCCAAAATTATATCTTTTCTTTCTTGATAAAATGCAAAAGAAATGCGAAAGATACCAAATGGACATTCAAACTCATAAGTCGAAAATAAACTAACAACGCCATGGAAAAAACGATAAATGACCAACAGACAAACAACAGTATACAAATCACAACATAAAAACAAAGACTTAGCAACACGAACCCCACCAAAAACCAACATTCATGATTGCATGCAAGTGTTTCAAATGACAACGTCACAACAAGTATAGAAAATAAACGAAAAACTTAATATAACTCGTCATTTCCTGGTTCTATCATATAATGTAATTATAAAATTTGAATGGTTCATTTTGTAATTTATTGGGGTTCTAAAATCGTTGATCGTGTGCACATTTTTACTAAAAAGCGTTGATCGTGTGCACATATTTAGTATGTAGCGCTTCATACGACGAAATGTGATTCGGTCAACGGTTTTACACCCTAGTAAAATTACAAAAAAGAAGCACAAAATGCGAAACGTAGATACAATTTCCTTGTTTAAGGTCGTGAAAAAGCGTACGGGAGTATGTGGAGAACCACACTAATTCTAAAGTATACTACACCGAGGATAAAATCATCAAAATGCTGGACTTTTTTATTGACAGCATATTTCAATGAGTTCAATTTAGCACCGAAAGTAGAAGGTTTGCTTTATATATTGATATTTTCTCGATATTAACACACAGTTTAAACAGTATTTTATTCAAATAAATTAAATTGGATTGGGCAACAGGCAAAGCCTATGTAAGCCCTCTCCATAAAACAAGGTACAATATGTTACATTCAAACAAAACAACACATACACATAAACAAACATAATGACAACACATAATTATTTTTCAAAAACTACCTCATAGCTGACTGGAAGGATGCTTCAAATAGTTAACTCAGAAAAAAATTATTAATATTCTAAGGATGCTTCAAATAATTAACTCATAAACAAATATTAATATTCTAAGTAATAAACACCAATATTGATTAAGAGGCTTACATTAAATTAAACTGTCTCCAGTCAGCTGTTCAATATTATTATTATAATAACTCATTTTTCCAAAACAACATGTTTGATATCATGTACTTATTTTTACTAATTTATCGCACCTGAAGAACAATGGCAGTGAGTAAATAACCATATTGATACATTAAAGAACCATAAATAATTTATTAGTTTTTTAGCTTTAAAATTATCAATTATTGTCAATTTGTTTTTAATTTTTGTTTCAATTTTATCTATTGTTCAGCCGGTTGGGGTCTAAGAACTTGAATATAAAACAAAATACAGACATACAAAGTAACAAGTTTATTAAGTTTCAAACTATAAAATATATTTCGCTATACAAATCTTTCTGAATTTTTAAAGTATTCATGAACAGCCTTAACTATCTGAATATTGTCTTCAATACTCATAGATTAATCACCAAATAGTAATAACTTCAAATCAATATCAACTTCATAAGCAGACAGTTTATCAAGGAGAATGATCCTGTTTAAAGTGTATGATGGACAATCAAAAAAGTAATGTTGATATAAACATACATGGACTACTTCAAACTAAAATCTATGACAAACGTGATGATTTCAACTTTCCAATTGTCAACTTCCCATTTCTCAGCAGTAACATACCCTATGCTCAATCGTATGGCGTTTACATATCTCAGTTAATATATTATGGTCGTGCATTTTCACACTATACGGGCTTCATTAACCTGGGTGTGCTCCTAACACAAAAACTGCTCTAACTGAGTTTTGAAGAAGAACGATTTAATTCGACACTTCATAAGTTTTTCAGGTAACTAACAATCACGAATTGATTAAACGATGCGATGTGTTCGTGTCTGATCTCACTAGCGACATGTTAATGTGGTCTTAGATCTTAAGATATCAGTATAGTCGTCTGATCTATAATTTTACCGATTATGTCCTTTTCCGGTTGCGACATTTTCACTGAATGTGAATTCGCATGGCGGGCGATGCATGCATTACTGGGGATGCTTACTCTGTTGACGCAACCGGTCTCGTTTCTTTTGTCTTTTGGGGTTCATGCGATTCCCGCCGTTTCTGTTTGTTACCTTGATATGGGAGATTTAAACAGCGGAAAACTAAATGTACTGTCGCCTTAATTGAGATATTTTTAAAATACTGTGCAATGTCACTTTTCTATCATCTCTTCGGTCTACCTTTGAAAATACAGTTAAACATGTGCCTCTTTCTGAACGAATCAAATTACTTGGAATATACAAAATAATAATATAATAGATCATAATACAATGCATAGAGAATATCATATGGCTTTTTCAATATCACATCCGTATGAACCTATTACACAAATATATAATCCCAAGAGCTCTGCTCGAGGGATTATATTGGTTGAAGGTTGATAAAGTGTGTGATATTGAAAAGGCCATATACACTTTATTATATACCTCAAGTATTTTTTTTTTTTCATTTGACCTGACGTAATAGACTATGGGGTAGATAAAGCCTTGCAACCGTGACTGATATCATTATCATAACGGATGACTGATACAGAACTATTGTCATTGATTGTATTCAAAGATTTTACTTGTATTCACTACTAAGTATGAATAACATGCAATACAATACAGTACAATACAACAGTTCAATATAAATGCAAAAAATGCAATGCAACCTTACAATAAAACAATACAACCACGATCTAAGATAATGTCAGCTGTTAACAACCTCTTAGTTTTATTGAGATCCGGGCCATATAACATCCGCACCAAACTCAAACTTTACTGCAGATGTGTCTTGTCTGTACTTTTGTATGGATTAGAATGTTGGAGGAAGACAGATCACGACCAATACAAACTGTCTGGATTCAATACTAAAATCCTCAAAAGAATTCTGCGAATCTTTTGGCCACACAAATCTCAAACCACAACATTTTCACCAGATGCCAACAATAAGATATAGCCACTACTATAATGAGAAGACGCTGGAGGTGGATTGGTCATGTATTCTTCGGAAAGAGAAAGAGGATGTTACTAAGACGGCAATCCACTGCATGGACCCCAGAAGGTAATAGAAAGAGAGGAAGACATAGAAAGATATGGAGGCGATCTGTAGAGCCATTAATACATAGATAATATTCCTTGAAATTCACAACGTCACTTTAGACAAGAGCATAGCGAACGAGTTGTAACATATAAACACCGTAGGATGAGGCCAAAGGAACATCACCGTCCAAAAACAGGAAAATTAACAATAGGGAACGAAAATCGTCCATTTTGTTGTAATTTTTTGTGTATATTTTCCCGTGTAAAACAGAAATATCTAAATATAGGAAAAGCAGTTATTGCTTTTTTTATTTGATTTTCAAAGTACGTTTCTGTGGGTAAATTTGTGCAGTATATTTAGAGAAATTTTGATTATTTAACGAAAAAATGTCATCAAGATAACAGTAAGTGTTGATGAAATTTATCAATTAAATGAGACGGATCTTTACTGAGTTTGGCCATAAACTGTAATTCTCAACAAGACAGGAACAAGTTTGCTAATAAAGGGGCACAATTGGTGCCCATAGGAATACATACAACCTGTCTATAAACTGTATAGCCGAAACAGACATAGATAATGTCAAGGAGAAATTTATCATCTCATTACACTTCCAATAAGTATATCTAGCTATATATTCACCTTTCCCAGTACAGAAGAGGAATTTAATTGAGTTGCAGCAAATAAACTAGTTTGAAATCAGATTTTTTAAACGACCATTTACTTAAATAGGAAAACTTTTGTTTGATAGTGTAGAAGTAGAGTGTAGAGAGTCGAAAAGCCAAAACTGTCGACCAATTTTAAAAGGACCATTAAAAGCACGTAATTTATTTATAACCTCCAAAGCTTATTTTTTAAACTCCAAAAATAGTTAATTCCACTATTTTTATATGCTTAATTACAAAAGTTAATGATGAAATCTTTGATAGTAGTTAAGGAACTAGTTAAAAGCACTGAAATGTTAGTTGTAGAGCACTTACTCGAGGCCGAGATGAAACGATATTTTACGGGTTTGTTTGTGTAGTTTAGGTAACTGCAATTCATAGAAAGACCTTCGAATAGTTAGAGGAGGCCTTAAGCTGATGTTTCAACTTTGGTAATGATTTTATTTGTTCTTTCTGACTCTCTGAGGAGCTTACAGAACTGAATGTAGAAGAGTTTACTGATAATTTCATTTTTAAAGAACTTCTGTGTAGTATTTACGTCAAACCACCACCACATAGTTGGCTGCTTTGTCGTCCGATACGAACGCAGACCGCTTAAATACTAATAAAGTATGTTTCTTGTATTAGAAATATGTGTATTGTGTACCTTTTTATTAATTTCTAGATATTTTCAAAGTATGATCTTCTATTATCCACAATATTTATACATTAATATTCAAGAGTTTCTTAAAATATTTCCGTTTTTTTTTTCAATGTACACCAATTTTTACAATATGATGAGAAATAGCATCTTTAATGACATAACGGTAGAGTTTCATGTATATAAAATCAAACGATTATGTAGAAATGTATGGGGTCACTTTTTGAAGAAAAGATGAAATAACTATTATAATCCTTGACGCTAGAATCAATTTGGATCTTAGGCCTGACTTTAAAAATCCCGCATATACAGAATAGAGAATAATGGCACAGGCACTTGTCTCTGAAAAAAAATAACACTACACAGGAGTATTTCGATACATTCCAAACAAAGTAAACCTTAATGTTTATCTTTAAAACGTTTTACATTACATATATAATATTATCAATTCAAACACTTTAATGATAAAGGAGATGATTACCTCCCTTGAAAGAAATCGGGAACTTTCCGGTCTGATTCGAAGTTTTGATAATATATACATAAAAAGATATAGTTAAATAATTTCTGATTAAAATGCAATACACAGAGAATAGTAAGGTAAGACTAAGTGAATGAGATCTCACATCCTGCTGTACTTGGGAAAGTTCTCCCAAAAATGACTCTGTCTCTTACAAATAATACACATGTATAATAATTTATCTCTACTGACTCTAGTCCAGATAATCATGCCGTCTGCTTTTGGTATTTTTCGATTTTGACTTTTTTTGATCCCACATCGCAGATAGGCGTCAAAGCAAAAAATTAAAATAGCCTTCCAAGACGTCATAATTATTTGGACTAATTTATCTCGTGACATTTATCTTTGCCATAGACATACAATACATTAATTAATATGAGGCAGGCATTACCTGTGAAAGGGGACGAAGTCTATATAAATTATTTTTTTTTAATTCAAACATATTTTAAGTTCTAAATCTGTTAAAAAAGAAACGGAAATACCGTAACGTTTCCGATTTTGGTTCTGTTGTTAGGGACTGTTAGGGATTTTAGTTGTGACGTTATTTTAATTATGACGTCATATTCAATGTAAACAAAGAAACGCTATCATCAGGTAACGTTTTTTTCATATCAAAGATTAATTAGAAATGAAATTGTTATTGTGTTCCTTCCTATATTTTACTGGACTGATAAATATATATTTCACTCAAAGTCTCATGACAAACGAGACCGGAAGAAGGAAGTAGATTTCTGCGCAAATGCAGGAATTAAAAAAAGTTACAAAAAAAAGTTAACGAAGTCCTCTTCGTCTGTTAACTTTTACAAAAATCTTCTCCACTGAAACTACTGGGCAAAATTTAACCAAACTTGGCCACAATCATCATTGTGGTATCTAGTTTAAAAAATGTGTCCAATGACCCTGCAAGTTTTGTCTATTATTTTGAAAACTGTTATAAATAGAGAAAATCTGACAGGAGCACAAATGTTCAAAATGTTGAGCTCTACCAATTGTCCAGATACGTCTTAACTGTCAGAAGACTTCTTATAGGAGTTATTGCCCTTAAATGACAAATTTTACCATTTTTTTTTCATTTTTATACGCCCGTTTCTGGGACATATTATGGTATACCGCTGACTGTCTGTCTGTCCGTCTGTCCGTCCGTCCGTCCGTCTGTCTGTCCTTCATTCCATCGTCAACATGTCGGACATTAATTCAAAAATGCTTTAACCAATATGCATGAAACTTTGGTGAATTGTTTATATCTATTCGTTTTTTATAAATTTCAGATTTACCATTTCCTAGTTTTGGGATTTTATTCATTAAAAAAGGGGGGATTTTCCAGTTTTCGCAAAATAACTCAAAAACAATTTCACCAATTTGCATGAAACTTTTGTGAATTGTTCATATCTATTGACGTGAGCTCCCTTTCATTTTATATAAATTTCGGATTTACCGTTTTCAAGTTTTGGGGTTTTATTCATTAAAAAAAGGTTTTTTTTACAGTTTTCGCACAATAACTCAAAAACAGTTTCACCAATTTGCATGAAACTTTTGTGAATTGTTCATATCTATTGACGTGAGCCTCCTTTAGTTTTTTTATAAATTTCGGATTTACCGTTTCCTAGTTTTGGGGTTTTATTCATTAAAAAAGGGGGGATTTTCCAGTTTTCAGACAATAATTCAAAAACAATTTCACCAATTTGCAAGAAACTTTGATGAATTGTTTATTTCTATCGACATGAGCTCCCTTTTGATTTTCATAAATTTCAGAATATATATTTATGGGGTTTTATTCATTACGAAAAGGGGGATTTTCCAGTTTTCAGACAATAACTCAAAAATGCTTTCAGCATTTTTTATGAGACTTTGGTAAATTGTTTATATCTATTTTTGTAAGCTCCCTTTTGATTTTTATAAATTTTCGATTTTACATTTCAGAGTTATAAGATTTTATTTGTTTATAGTCTGACAACAGATTTACTAAGTATTGCGCAACAGCACAGTGTATTGCACAAACAGCAAGAAATCTTTCATATAACCAATTTCAAGTTCTTTTTATTCAGAAACCTATATGAATCAAATATTTAATTACAATCCAAATTCAGACCTGTATCAAGCTTGAATATTGTGTCCATTTTTGCCCCAACTGTTCAGGGTTGGACCTCTGCGGGCGTATCCAGCTGCGCTCAGCGAAGCAGTTTATTGCCTATTATCTTGAAAACTAGAATAGATAGAGAGGAACTTTACATTACAAAAATGATCAGCGAGACAAGTTCTACAAATAAGTGTGCATGGTCGAAATCGTCCGAAGACTCCTTATTAGAGTTATTGCCCTTTGATGATGATTTTTACCAATCTTTTGTGTTTTTGCCTTATATCATAAAAATTATAATAGATAGATAGAAACTTAAATAAGCAAAAATGATCAGCAAGTCAAGATCTACACTTTTGACAAGATAGAGGAAATCGTCCAACGACTCACTCCTCATTGGAATTATTGCCCTTGAATGACGATTTATACCATTTTTTTGGTGTTTTGCCTCACATGATAAAAATTATAATAGATAAATAGACAATTTAAATCAAAAAAATGATCAGCAAGGCAAGATCTACTAACAAGTCAAATTTTGCCGATATTGGAAGTAGACTGTCACTCTTTATAGGAGTGATTGCCCTTAAATGAGGATTTTTTTTTACCCTCTTTTGTGTTTTGAGCAAAAACTAAAGAAAATAGAGAGAAACTAAACAGATTAAATGATCAGCACTACAAGATCAACAAAACAGAGATTTTTGTCATGAATTCTATTCTCGTCTGCAATGTTGGAGAGTGTCCTTTGTTGAATATGCACATAGACCAAGGTGAGCCTCTAGTTTCTTATATTAGTTGAAATTCTACATGAACTCATGATGGACAGTGATTATTAAAATACAGGCATAAGAGTATAGATCCTTCAAACCTTCCATTTTCTGATTATAGAAGATTTTTTGTCATGCTGTTAAATCATGTAAATAGTCAGGAATTTATTCCTCGTTTTCAACAGTCTTCAAAAATAATTTGTATGACTAATGAACCATGAAAAATTCAATGGACCAGTATTTGTCAGTATTGACCACTTGAGGAGTATTGACCCAGACACTAAAAACTGTCAAATACCACTGGCACTAGTAAATACCTTGGGCAATGCCAACAGTATTTACCACCCACACTGTACAAGTGGTAAATGCTGCATGTCAAAGACAATAAAGGCAACTTTTATTATCAAAAATATGATAAACACTGTCATGACTGTAGCAATTGTAACAGGAGTGTGATTTCCTCAGGCTTTGATATCTTCCCGTTGTCTACCCAAGTTCTTGGATATTGGACAAACTTTGCAAATGCATAAACAAGATATTTAAGAAGGCATACATGTATGGTTGAACAAGTTTACATACAATAAATATATATACAAATACGGTGGCGGCTAGTATACTTGTCATTGTAAAAGTTTTGCATATTTCAAATCCTAAGCAGTAGACTGCCCTGAACCACTGAGTGAGTGACGTCATATTTATAGTTCCTAGGAACAACGAGCCCGTCTGGGATGTCAGGCACGTGCAAGAACTGAAAGTACAAGTAACCCAACAAGAATATTCACATGGCTGGTCTCGGGAGAAATAGATACGGAACTAAAAATAATACTAACTTTAACCAATTTCCCCAAATAAATAATCTACATTGTAAAAAAAGTGACCACCATTATACAATATTGAACACCTTTTTAAACAATACATTATGTTGTTTCATTGTACATAGGGGACAAGAAGTCAAATTCATTTACAGAACAATCACAATTGATTCTATTATTTTATTTTTTCATGTCTTTGTAGATATAAAACAACACACAGAAAGAAATTTGTTTATGTGTTTATATAAATCTTTATTGAAAGAATTAAAACACAATAATATATTATTTATAACATATTTATTTTATTAAATGCAACACTGCACATATTGGTCACAGCTCTTCATCTTTTTTCATGGATTTCCCTTTCTTCCGATCTTGTTCGGCTCATACTTTCAGAATTTAGATTTAAGCATACTCCTCTCAATTGCATGATTTTGTCTGACAAGCTATGCAAATAATTAAAACCCACTAAAGAATTGAAATCATTCTTAAAACTTTATACAATTTTTGCATGACAAGTCATAATTTTCAATCATAATTATGAGGGAGTGAAAAATTAAATTTTCCAAATTTGGCCCAAGTCCATTATCTCATTTTTTACATTACTACATCTTTATCATTAAATGGACCTCGTAATGGAAAGATATTCTTTTGAACCCCCCTCTTTTGACAGAATAAGCATAGACTTAAAAGAACGGGGGTTCAAAAAATGCCTTGCCTCATATTACATCATGTAAGTTTATACACAAAATAAAGTACTAATAAAACAAAATAATAATGTGAGCAAACAGACCCAGATCAAATGTGAATATAGGTGAACTGACCCAGGGAGAGCTGGTAAATGGGAAATTAGGTATGTGGGGGAATCTGATTAGGATTGACTCTGATTGTGGGCAGACAAGAGGTAATTAAAAAATGTAAAATTTTATTGTCTAAATAATTTCCATTTTTTAGTTATTCAATCTAATGTGTACTTGAGCATATTTTCAATTACATGTTATTGAAAGTAATGAATTACATTGCTTTTTTATAGCTCCGCCGACTAAGGTCCGGCCATATAGTGTTACCCTTTTCCATCATTCAGCAACGAACAGTTATACAGACTTTTTTTCTAAACGCCTTCACTTATCGAGCTGATTTTTAGTAACGTGATTCAACTATGATGAAATACAAATCAAGATTATGTTTGGTTCCGCTCCGCTGATATTTGCTGAAATTAGCGGCTTTGGACTTTGTAAATTTCGTGAAAATATCAGTTATACAAACTTTTTTATCTAAACGCCTTCACATATTGGGCTGATTTTTAGTATGTGAGTCTTGTACGAAATTACAGATGGCATATATGTTTGGTTCTGCTCCGCTGATCTTTGCAGAAATTACAGTCTTTGGACTTGGAAAACTTTGTGAAAATAACAGTTATACAGACTTTTTCTAAGGGCCTTCACATATTGAGCTGATTTTTAGTATGTGAGTCTACTATGATGAGTTACAGATAGAATATATGTTTGGTTCTGCTCCACTGATCTTTGCTGAAATTACAGGCTTTGGACTTTTTTGGAAAATTTTGTGAAAATAACAGTTTTATTTACTTTTTCTAAACACCTTTACAAATTGAGCTGAATTTTAGTATGTGAGTCGATTATGATTTATTCCGCTCTGCTGAGTTTTGCAGAAATTATGGGATTTGGACTTTGAAAATTTGGTAAAAATAACAGTTACTAGTATACAGATTATTTTTCTAAAATAATTCACATATTGAGCTGATTTTAAGTTTGTGAGTCTACTGTGATAAGTTACAGATAGAGTTTTACATTTGGTTCCGCTCCGCTGATTTTTGCATACATGTATCAAATATCAATATTGCCAGTTTTTATATCATGTTTCATTTTCATTCAATTCAGAGAATTTGTTATTGTAACCATTGTATTTATAGGACATCATTAAGACTAAAAACCATATTTTCATTGTCATCTGCCAAATTTTCATTAATTATGCAAGAGTGAATACTGACATCATAAGTGATGACTTGAACTTTCTTGAATCACATGTTCATGATCACTAATATGAAAATTTATAAAAACTTTAATTTCACTTCAGTTATCAATCAGTATTCGAATTAACTTCATTTCATTTGCCTGATACACTTCTTTTCTGAAGATTTTTAATAACCAATTAGTAGATTTATTACACTTTTAAAAGTATGTATGTAAATGGGTAAGGATTTCTATTTAGAGTAGATGTGGTAAGGAAGGGATGGTTGTTATTATAGAGCTATTTGAAATTCCTTGCTAAATTTTAATGTTATCCATGTTATCAACTAAAAACCCATTGAAATGAAAATTAAACAGTTGCCATGGACAAAGTAATAAACATACATGTTCGACAGATTTCTGGTTTTTGTTTTGAAAATGATAAAGACTTATATATGTGTTCTATATGAACTAGTCTATTGTTATTTCTAGACAAAATTGGGAAAGGAGTTGGTAAAAAGAAACAAGGATGGAAACCAGGAAGTTAAAAGCATGGTAGTAGTCAAGCATTCAACAGTACCTGTGTCAACAGCCTTTTCTATTTTGCAACCTTCTACAAATCTTAATGTACCACCATCAAATTGGCTGAGAAACTCATCAAGAATGGAGAAAAATATATTTGATTTTACATGGGACAAAAAGGAACACTCTCAATTTTCAAGGTATTATTTAGTGTGCCTTTTTTTTGCCATTATATATATAATTAACACCTTTTAAGTTTTGGATTTTCAAATATTTTGGCCTCTGGCATCACTGAAAAGACTTTCATTGTCAAAATGCCCATCTGATGCAGTAAAATTTGTACCGTTAATGTTAGTTTAGCTGTTAGATTAAAAAGAATTCTTGGAAAGATGATAAATTGATTGACCTTTTTATGTTAAATAAATACACTTAGATGAATAGTAAAGGACTCCCGTACACAACAAAGTTGTATTCACATTATATACAGGGAACAGGGAATGAAAAAATGTATTATAAAATAGAAGATCTATCAAATCCATTAGATGTTGATAATTGACATTAGTTTTTGTAATGAATATAATTATTTATATATACAAGAATTGAGACGGGAAATGGGGAATGTAAATACATGTATCATGTATATCAAATGAACCTAGTATCCAGTAAAACGCCTCTTATTATTTGCCATTGTTGTATGCGGTGTCACTTTGTACAATATTTTGAACAAACAAGGCGAATCAATAGTGGTAAGTCATTGATATTTGGTATTCAGTTGTGTAAGCATTGGCACATCCCATTTGCATTGAGATTATTTGGCCCACCCCCTCATTCATGGTGTATTGACTGAAGCTTTTGTATAGTTTACATGATACATGTTTAGGTCAGTTCAAATGGAACCACTCATAAGTCAATTGTATTTGGTTACAGGTATGCAGTTGTATTAGAATTGGCATTTCTCATTTGCATAGAGGTTACTTGGCCCTTCACCTTCAGTCATAGTTCATTGACTTTGATTGTTTTGCATAGTTTACTTGTTAAAGTATTGCAATTTTAATTTCAATATTCATATTATACATCAAAAAGGAGAGACATATCTCTTTGTCAACAGGTTGATGGCTATTATCTTGAAAACTATTATAGAAAGAGAGAAATTTTACGTACCAAAAGCAAATTAAAGATCTACAAATTAATGTATATATACCAGAATTTGTCAGTTGACTCAATATAAGAATTGTTACTCTTTAATAAAGATTTTAACCAATTTTTGTGTTTCTGGCTATAATCTAGAAAACAATAGTAGATAAAAAAAAAAAACTTTTAACAGCCAAAATAATCATCAAGACAAGATCTACTATTCAGCCTTTTAAACTCAGTCAAAATTGTCAATTTACTTTTTAAGGAAGTTGTTACCCTTTTAAATACTATTTTACCAATCTTGTTTTTCTTGTACAGTAGATACTGTAAAATTGACAATTTATCAGTTCAGTAAGATCTAGAAATAAGTCAAAATGATAATGATAATACATAAGACAACACAAAATGATAATGATAATACATGAGACAACACAAAAAGATAATGATAATACATGAGACAACACAAAATGATACTTTATTGAAAAAAAAATGTGGAGATAAGGTCTTCAAAGAAAAGATAAAAGCAGTTTACACACTATACCTACAAAATTTGCTTTTTGAAAAAAAATGGATTTGTCTACTTTTATAGTATTGAAATGGCCAATAATGACTTAGATCTGACAGGAGAAGTGGATGTGATTTCTAATTCTAATGTAAGTATTTGTGAAACAATCTTTCTGTCTGTGTCATTTCACTTAATAATAGCAGATTGTTAAACCTGGCATTTATGTATTGAGGCATCTTTATTAGAGCTTGAATTTTTCAAAAATTATGCACTGCTCAACTTATAAAATCATCAGAAATATGGACAGATAACCTACAAATTCAGACAATTATGTGCATACAGCAATAAATTATATCATGTGTTAATTTCATTTTCATGTATTCCTTATATTCTGAATCACAAGATGTCACTTTGATCAACATTGTTCACATTATTATTGGTAGATCTAATTCTTAATTTAGCCATTTTTTAAAAATACTTGAATTTTTTAAATACTCAGTATTTTCTATATGAAAAACCTTTTTTTGTTTAAATTTAGTTCTAACTGTTGAATTTTGATTCAAAAATCATATTGTAAGATGTAATAAGCTGTAAATGGGAAAACCAAACTTAAATAAAAATTAGACAGGGAAAGCTAATTATAGTCTGATTTATTATAAGCCAATGAAATAAAACCAAAAACAGTTATGGCTGCTGGCAATTTTTTTGGAAATGCATAATCAAAGATCACTGAAAGAGATGTTTTTGCTGCACCATGCTAATGAAACCTTTCTTGCATTTGCACTTAATGCAATGTCATGTATATATCATTATTTGCCAAATTACCCTTTTTAAAAGTTGGCAAAATTTTTAAAACAAAGATATCTGTATTTAAAATATGATTAGCATCAATAAATACAATGATTTTCATAATTATATAATTTATACATGTCCCATAATTAAAATGATATATTCAAGAATGACTTTTTATAAATCTATATACCATTACCTTATCTCTGGTTCTAAAAGCATACTGGTGAATCATATATTGACAAAATGACAAAAAATGGCTGTACGATATACATGATATACAGTTTTGTACACTTGTACAATCATAGTATTTCAAATTCAACACTACAACATGTACAAAGCACTAGTGATGTATTACTGAAAACATGCTGTGTTTTTTTTTAGAATATAAAGAAGATTCTAAAGATGCCAATGTCTAAAGGACATATTAGTATGATGGTTCATCGGATCGGGAAGACTTTACTCATAGATGAATTTGATGTACACAAACATTTACTTAGACAACAACAGGTGATGATGCATACAGGATAATTATTTATGAATTATCTGAAATATTATAAAAATGATTCTAATAAATGATTTCAAACTTAAAATGGATATGTTGCAAGTCTGAAAAAAAGTAGTTGAAACTGTTTTAGGGGAGTTAATCTTAGTGTTTATTCAAAATTTTATTCATCACTTATACAAAATAGTGACAGTGTTAAATGTAAATCAGAATGTGATTTGAGAATGGAAGTTTTAATAAAATACATTTTGAAAATATATTTTCATATAAATTACATCCTTTCAAGAGGATAATACTGAATTTTCTGGTTAACTGTATGATAAAAGAAATTATTACCCAAAGCTAATTCGAGGTTGAATTTGTGTGTGAAAGGAGTTGGGTCACTGACTCATAATTTTGGCCCTTAAAATCTAAAACTTTTTGACTGCGATAATTATATGAAAATTTGATTAAAGTGTATGTTAAAATGTCTGATTTTTCAGTTTCAACAAATGTGTCATTAGTGATGTATTCCTGACGTCATAAATGTAGGGGAATTTCAGTAAAACTTCATGACTGTTTTCTGAAAATTAATTAGTGGCATAACCTCTCGCCCAGAAATATTTTTGCTGAAATATTCTGTATATACACTTTTCTTTACTTTACAACCAAAATGTCAATGGGTGAGGGTGGTGCCACATATATAATCATGAAAAAAGGTTGAAAAAGGCAAAACATTTCTAGAAAAATGGACTTATGGGTTTTGCTCATTCCTGAAGGCCGTACGGTGACCTGTAGTTGTAAACTTCTATGTCATTTTGTCTTTGAATTTAAGAAAATACACCTTTACAGAGCCGTTTTTGGGGGTTACTGGCTCTACTCTTTTTGTTGTTGTAAATATGATATTTTAAGATTTTACAACCTTTTAGTTTGAGCTCAAGTATAAAACTGATTGCTTGCATTTTATGTTACTCTAAATTCATAAATCTTGGGATGTTTTTATTATTGTGAAAATTTGTGACAGGATAGGATTAGCAAAAATAAAAATTCACATATTTAATAGCGTTAACATTTACTTAAAATGCAATAACTCTATAACCTAATTTCTTACATTTTTCAACAAGTGCAGTGATAAATGCACACACTAATTTTAGAATTTGCAGTATATAATTATATATAAAGAATGAATGCTCACAAAAGCACTGCATTGCAGGTATCCTGTTTTGACTTCTGTTAAAGGGAACTAACTCAGGTATAAATCAAGTTATGATTCATAACATGATTTATTTAAAAAGAACTAGATCAATTTTGTTTAGTGAAAGAAATGTATAATTAAATATTTGAATGACAATAATCCAATAGAACTTCTAGACAAAAAATTAAGATTCATATACTGTACATACAAGTCTTATATACAAAAATACAATATTAAAGATAGTCATTGATTTGATGTATTTTTTAGGATGATTGGAAATGGTTGAGGGAATTCTATTACCAATCTGTAGCTAAAGAAATGCAGGTATCATTAATTAGAATTAATTATGCTGTGTATCATTATTGAGAATGTTTTTTTTTTACTTTCATTTAATGAGCAGTATACCATAACCATGATAACCTTAATCATGTTTATAATATTGGTAACATTTTTAATTTTGATTTTAAGTTATTTTGAAGAAAATCGTCTGACTTGGTTTCCTTCAGTAAACCATAGTCATTTCACTAACATCAAACACAGGTAAATTATACTGACTAATTAATTTATTTATTTAGCTGTTTCCAATTACCCCTTAAGCTTCCATTAGTCTTAAGAGCATTGCTCACTAATGAGGAGGTGGAAGTGAGGTTTTGAGCAGGATAAGATGTTTAATGATGCATAAGCACCTCATCCCGGAAATGTTAATCTGAAGAGTAAAAGTACCGATTTTAAATGTTGGTACATGCTGAATATTTGAAGGCCACTGCTATATAAAAAAAATGAATACAGCCATTCAACTTGTCTATATTTATATTTTTGGAATTACTCCATCAGATACTATGTTTTCCCTTTCTCACTTCACATACAACTGTTAGCATAAATTTTGCAATATTTAAACACAAAAATTCATGGATGTGATGAATAAAATTGCTCATTTTAGTGAGCATGGAATGATTTCGGGTCATTTGTAGGATTCAATATGAAAAATATATAAATTAAAATTACAAAAATATTTAAAAATAATAACTATTGAAATATTTATCATGACTTATCCTTATATTTACCTGCATTACCTGTAAAATGAATGCGTGCAAACGTAAAAAAATGTAATCCCCAAATTTGCCCAAATGTAATGTGCCCATAGAAATCATGAAATTTAAACTCTTCAAAAAGAATTTAACCACTTTATAGTATTATACTATTCTTTATCATTTTATGCCCCACCTACGATAGTAGAGGGGCATTATGTTTTTCGGTCTGTGCGTCCGTTCGTCTGTCCCGCTTAAGGTTAAAGTTTTTGGTCAAGGTAGTTTTTGATGAAGTTGAAGTCCAATCAACTTGAAACTTAGGACACATGTTCCCGATGATGTAATCTTTCTAATTTTAATGCCAAATTAGAGTTTTGACTCCAATTTCACAGTCCACTGAACATAGAAAATGATAGTGCGAGTGGGGCATCTGTGTACTATGGACACATTCTTGTTTTATATATGTTTATGTATATACGCAAGTCTGAACATTTGTGCAGCATTACCAATAAAAGATAATTATGTACAATTAAGATGAAATGATATCGTATTGACAAATATTTCTGCACAACAGATAGCCTTCGTCAACGACAACCTTTTTTTTCAAATGCAATAAAACAATATGAAAATCCTTAGTGTGTTCTACTGCTCATATATATAAATAGGTTATATTTAACTTTTATCTAAAATCCTGAAGTCCTCACCAAAGCACAGCTCAATACAGAAGACATAAGTGTATAATTATACACTCCAAGTTGTAACGTCATAGTACATGCAAAAATTTATATATACAGTCAAATATATCACTAGAACTTTCATGCTGTTAAAGTCATCAAGGTTGAAATGCAACTGTCGGAATTGTTTTTACTTACTGCCCATTGAGATGTTTGTGGAATTACTGACTCACCAACATATTTGAGGCCACAGACTGAACATTTTAGAATGTAAATAACATTCAAAATTATTCAGGACACATTGCAAAATATTATATAGTTTTGAGAGGTCCTACTGATGAAAGTTGATGAACTATACATTTGATCTGATACCTATCAAATTTACTCTCATCACAGTGACTTTTAATATTAGATAAGGAAATGTGGTAGGATTACTAATGGGACAACTATCCACCAGTGATCAAAGGATGTGGATGTAGGCAACTATAGGTCAAACTATGGCTTTCAACAATGAGCAAAACCCATGCCGCATTGTCACCTTTAAAAGACCCTGCATGATAAAATGTGAAACAATTCAAACAAGAAAAAACAATGAATATTTTCCTATCCAATTTTATTATTCCTCACCTAGTAGGAGCAATTATGTTTTCTGGTCTGTACGTCAGGACGATTTAACCACTTTCCATTATTCTGTTTGTCCATACCATATCGGGTTAAAGTTTTTGGTTAAGGTAGTTTACCAGGAAGTTATGATTACATCAACTTGAAACTTAGTACACTGGTTTATTATGATATGCACTTTATAAATGATATGCGAGATTATGACATTAACTGTGATTTTCCAGTTCACTGATATAAGAAATGTTATATTGTCAGACCAGAACATTCTCTGTTTTTGGTTAAGGTATGTAACCATAAAGTTGTGGTCACTTCAATTTGGATTTGGGATCATTTTCTTTTTAACAGCTGGTTAAATAGTAAGCTCTACCACTTTTATATGCAAATTCATTTGATGTCATGGGTTCAGAAAAATGGTTTAATATAATATGGTTGTATTTGTTGTGCAGTTTTGTACTAAAATCCAAATACCCGGTATTAGAATCTGCAACATGATAAGACATTGTTTTCTTTTCAGATTAAGTGTGTTCCTAAGAAAAATAAAAGTAGAGACACTCTTCAGAATAGAAATATGTTGTCAAAGTTTTTATATAGGAGGTAATTTTTTATTTCATTTTATAGGTTTAAAACAATTGTTAATAATCGTTTTTACCTGTATAAGAATGAGTCTTTGTAGATCGAATCAGTCAACCAAATATTTGCCCTTGTTTCACTTCCAATGTTCACATTCTTTTCTTTTGAATAGATGAATACGCCATGCGTAACCCATCTCTAGCTAAGGGGTTCAATTGAAGTTCACATGAATATGGATTTATTGAGGTTGAATTATTTACTTGCAAGTGAATAATTCATTAGCGATGTTTTATTAGCTTATTTTGACAAAACTGAACCAAACTGGCTGATAAAAGCATATTATTATATCACTATTTCAATTTCATTAATCATTGAACAAAAACAAATCATATTTTATTTTTTTTATATATCGCGTAACTTATGCCCCTTTAAAAAGACTTTCATTTATAATTTTCAGCAGTCATCTGCATTCACATTTATAAAAAAATATTTTTGAAAAATTAAGAAAAATTATTCATTGTATTCTTACAACTCTTAGAAGTTTTGTGTGTGCCATAGGGTGCAGGAAGAACTTTCTATTCAGTTAAAGGTAATAAAATGAATTTATGCTTTTAAAGTGGTTGTCTTTTGTGTATATCTTTTATTGTCTTTATGGCCCTGACGACTTAGGTCTGACAATATAGTTTTACCCTTTTCTGTCATTCTGTCATTACGTCATTCCGCAAGGAACAGTTATACAGACTTTTTATCTAAACACTTCACATATTGAGCTGATTTAAGTTTGTGAGTCTACTATGATGAGTTACAGATTGAGTTTATGTTTGGTTCTGCTCCGCTTATTTTTGCCGAAATCATGGGCTTTGGACATTGATAATTTCGAAAAAGTAACAGTTATACAGACTTTTTTTACATATTGAGCTAATTTTTAGTATGTGAGTGTACTATGATGAGTTGTGAGCGGGGACATTCATGTTGTTCCGACACATCTAGTTTTTTTCCTTTATTGAATTGACATCATAGTGATAACAGATAGTCTCTGCTTACTCTATTTCTATCTTTCAAAGACAAATGGTTACAAACGTTATAGAGACTTGTCTATTGAAGACTGAATGTTTTCCACTAATTTATTCTTACGGTTTTGTTAGGTTGCCATTCTATTCACCATACCCATGTCTTCTTTTATTCATATGCTTATCTATAGATAAATGTACTTTTTTATTACATCTTAGTGAAACTGCAAATATAACTCTTTAATTGTACATTTGACAGCATTGCAGATACCAACGAAGCTGTTGATGAATTTCAGCAGACAGTAGAAGATATGTCAAATAATGTTGATGATAATCTAGTAAGGACAGAACAGGTACATAAAATACAAAATAAGAATTGTATGCTAAAAAAAACACCTCAGTAATTTCATGCTGCTAAAAATTTTGAATCCTGTTCTGTAATGAAAAACAATGGTTCCTAAATGGTCATATATACTGGAATTTCACTCAGTTTCATATTTGTTTGTCTAGATTTCAGATGAAAAAGCACCCAAATGTAAGGTTTCATTTTTTTCAATAGTATTTTACTGAAACAGTCTTTAAAAATGGATGTAGCAACTTTTAAAATTGGGTAAAATATTCAATTAGCACATTAAAAATTATAGCAGCTGTTTTCTTAAGAATTTTAAGTCCCAGGTTTGGATAAGAACAGTCTGTGTCATTTTCTCAGTTTTCAAAGATGTACAAATTAGTGCTTTAGTTTTAAAGTCACATGGTCAAAAAAATCAATACACTGAAACAATATTAGCATAATGCTTATTGGTAAACAAGTTTGATTTCAGTAAAAGTCACTAACAGAACACTTCATAATTCAAATTATTTGTTCTTACTTTGAAAATTGGATTATTTATAAAAATAATGCATGACAAGTGTCAGGTACTGAAGCTGATTAAAACAGGATATTTTTTTATATTGAAATAATAAAAACAACACTTATCATTTCCTATATAATTATAAACATTTTTCTACATACAATACTAATGAACAACAAATCATATAGAAAACAATAATTAGAAAACTCTATACCCTTTTTTCAAACTCATTTACGTCCATATGTCTTGTTGATCTTATGGAAAAAATGTTTTGCTCTTCAAAAAATTTTGGAAACCCTGAGCTATACTTTATCCTCAAGGATATTGTCACCTAAATTCGTTAAATTAATTATTTTTGTCAACATGCTGAATGGTTATATAAGATTAACGTTATAGACAATTGTCATATTCTACAATTTCAATTTATAAAAATTGTTCACTTTTTCAATATTTTATTGTTCTTCATTTGAGGGTGTATGATTCTTGCCAGTTTATTATTAGTTTGGAAATATCATGTTACACATTAAAAACCTTTTTGTTTTGTGTTGTTCATGTTTATCTGGGAAATCCTTTAAAATTCCATTTGCTTCCTAGAAAAGGCAGGTGTTAGACTTGTGTAATAATTTATATGTCAACTAGTTACCTAAACTACTAAGTTATTGAAACAAAATAAAAATATGTTACAAAAAACATTTTGACAGTTTGAAGCACCAGGTTTTTCCAGAGAAGTAGTATGGACTTTTGAAGATATCAGAATGTTAATTGGTACAGATCTACCCATCTTTGGAGACCAGAACTGTCCCTGTATCAGCCTGCGGTTAAGGTTAGTATCATAGTTTTAATATCTACTCAATGATTATATTTAAACTGAACAGGCAACATGTATAAAACAAGAGTGCACAAATTTAAATGTCAGATCGTCTTTACCTATCATTGATGAATTTCATACCATACCCCAAATATAATTAGCCTATTGCTTATTGTATATGAAAAACAGATATAATTACGAAAATTGAACATTGGCCAATGAACCATAAAAATGGAGTCAAGGTCAAATGAACTCTGCCAAACAACATGAACAACATGCAAGCAATATTAATCCATACACTGAACATAGAGTTGACCTATTGCTTATAGTATACCAGAAAAAAGATATAACCATGAATATATTGACTAAGGAACATTGAAAATGATGTGAAGGTCAGATGAGCCCTGACAGACATACATTTTCACCTAACAATCATTCCACACACCAAATATGTTTGACCTATAGATTTTAGTATCTGAGACTTGAACACAAAAACTTAACCTGGATCACTGATCCGTAAATGAGGTCAAGGTCAGATAAACCCTGTCTGATAGACATGTAGACCTTGCAAGGATCCCATATACCAAATATAGTTATCCTATATATATAGCTATTTCTCATAATAAGTGAGTATTTCACATGGCAGAAAAAATTCAAAAATTTTTCAAGTAGTCGCTGAACCCTGAAAATGAGGTAAAACTATCTTCTCTAATATTTCCAATCACAGACTTTCAGACAAGTTGGCATTAAAAAACTGACCCTGAGAAATACTCCTTTCTTAAATTTCCTTTGCCAACAAACTGTGTTGATGCCAATAATTTAGGCAATATCTTCATAATTAATTCAAATCTATAATACCCACCTACTTTTAAAAGATCATTTTGTTCTATTCACCTCTTATACATATACAATGCCTATTGCAACTAAAGTTTTCTAGTACATGTATGAATTGTATGATCTCAATATTGACAACTTAACATTTTCTCCGATACATTTAAAATTGTATAATGTAATACTTGTAAGTTTTGTTTTCAGGGATATGCAGACCCCAATAAATGTACTAACAGGTCTTGATTATTGGTTGGATAATCTTATGAGTAGTGTTCCTGAAGTTGCCATGTGTTATCATCTCAATGGTATTGTACAGGTAAATATTCGGAATACTTAAAAAAGCTATTGTGAATTTTTATGCCCCCGCCGTAGCGGTGGGGGCATTAAGTTTTACCCTTGTCCGTCTGTACGTACGAACGTCCGTCCGTACGTCCCAAAATTGGTTTCCGTTTTCTAACTTGAGTTTGCCTCAACAAAATGTTATGAAACTTATACACAATGCTTGTTACCACAAAACACAGATCAAGTTTGAATTTTGGTGGTGTCACTTCAACCGTCCTAGAGTTATGCCCCTTTATAATTGGAAAAATTGCAAAATTTTTAGTTTCTGTTCTCTAACTTAAATTTGCCTCAACCAAATGTTATGAAACCTATACACAATGCTTATTACCACAAAACACAGATCATGTTTGAATTTTGGTGGCGTCACTTTAACCGTTCTAGAGTTATGCCCCTTTATAAATGGATTATTCTAGTAAATCAATACAGTTGTAACCATGCCTCACAATTTAAAACCATGTAAATAGGTAAACTACCTTAAAATGTTATTACTGAAGCAACAAAACTGCACTCAAAAATTAAAAAAAAAAGGTATTTAGTATAACCTATAGATATCAAGCTATAAAATGTTTGGTGATTTTGCATTGTAGAACATTGTTACATTGTTGATGAATGGAGGAATTTGTCAAAATGTGATTTACAAATTTATGCCGCATTTTTTTCTCGCCTTGACAGAGTCTAAAGGTCAGACATAGGTAGCGTCAGCGGCGGCAAAAGCAGAGTCAACAATGTATTAGTTTGTGATTAGGTCAGTTCATGGGCAACCACTAGTGGTAGGTCATTGATATTTGGTATGCAGTTGTATTAGCATTGGCACATCTCATTTTCATTGTGATTATTTGGCACCACCCCAAGTCATGGTCCCAAGTCATGGTCTATTGACTTTGAAACTTTTGCTTAGTTTACATGTATTAGTTTATGATTAGGTCAGTTTATGGGGAACCCCTAGTGGTAGGTCAATGATATTTGGTATGCAGTTGTATAAGCAATGGCACAACTCATTTTCATGGAGATTGTTTGGCCCTGTACCTTCAATCATGGTTCATTGACTGAATATTTTGCATAACTTACATGTAAAAGTATTTCTATTTTAGTTTCAACATTTTACTATCAAAATAACAAAAAGGAGAGACATATCTCTGTGTTAACAGTTTATTGTATATAAAACTGAACCTTGACCTAAACAGATTTTTAAGATACATACTCTATCTGTGGAATGAAGTTCATGAACTGGATAGTAACTATAGATTTTTCAATTTGAACTTTGAAAGATATATTTGAAAAGTAATAGACAAGCAACCTATGTTAAAGAGTATTACTTTTCTGACACACTGTCATGTTTTTATGCCCCCGCCGTAGCGGAGGGGGCATTAAGTTTTACCCTTGTCTGTCTGTACGTCCGTCGGTCCGTCTGAACGTCCCAAAATTGGTTTCCGTTCTCTAACTTTCGTTTGCTTCAACCAAATGTCATGAAACTTATACACAATGCTTATTACAACAAAACACAGATCAAGTTTGAATTTTGGTGGTGTCACTTTTACTGTTCTAGAGATATGCCCCTTGACAAATGGAAAAATTGCTGAATTTTTTGTTTCCGTTCTCTTACTTTAGTTTGCATCAACCAAATAATATGAAACTTATACACAATGCTAATCACCACAAAACACAGATAAAGTTTGAAATTTAGTGGTGTCACTTTTACCGTTATAGAGTTATGCACCTTTACAAATGGAAAAATTGCTGAAATTTTCGTTTCTGTTCTCTAACTTCTTAAGTTTGCCCCAACTAATTGTTATGAAACTTATAAACAATGCTTATTACCACAAAACTCAGATCAAGTACAAATTTGGGTAGCGTCACTTTTACAGTTCTTGAGTGATATCCCTTTATAATGTTATATGCAAGCGGGGGCATCATCTGTGTCCCATGGACACATTCCCCATTTATTCTTTGAATATTCTAAACTTCTGTAAGTACTAGAGACTGGAGACTGCAACTACAATATGTTCTACAAGGTTTTATTACTTAATTTATGGACCTTTATTATATTTTCAGAAATACGAGTTAATAAAGACAGAAGATATTCCAAATTTAAAGAATTCTGAGTTTGATCCTGCAATGATGGCTGACGTAGCTAGAAATATATTAGCATTCCTTAAATCTAATGCAACAAAGGAGGGACATACTTACTGGTTATATAAAGGTATCAATTCTTTACTGGCTTTAAACGAAAAAAGATTGATGTATGAGAACAGTATAATGAATGAATCTTTAAATTACTTGCTCAGAATATTTAAAAGTAACAGTCTTTAGACAAGATGCTGTACCATCACATATTGGTATTAGAATTTGAAACATGTTTTTACGTTGTCTGTTGATTTAAAGATAATATTTGGTTTATATGAATATAATAATTATTAATAGTTTTTTGTCTTCCATCATACTTGTCATCAAAGATAACATTTGGTTTATATAAATATAATAATTATTTGTGGTCTTTTTGTCTTCTATCATACTTGTAATCAAACTTGATTATAAAGCTGGAAATGTTTGTAAATTAAAGTACTGTAAGTTCAGAAATTATTGCTAGGTTTTTATTAATGCGAATAATGCTACTGGGTGAGTATTGCAATAATAAGAACTCACATTCTGATATCTGATATATATATCTGTATGCAGATTTTCCTGACATCGCAATAATAAAACTTGCATTTTTGTTCATACTTCAACAGTTGCAATAAAAAATGCATGCAATAATTTCTGAATTTACAGTAACACATTGTTTTCTCTTTCACTTTTCGTCATTGCTCCGCACTGCAACAGTCTAGTATTTATACCAGTTTACTTCCAAGCAAGGGAAATAATTTGTATTCAATTGTATTTTAAAAATCAGATTCAGGCTTTCAGAAGTGAGTTTCTAGAAAGTCCTATAACATTGATTAAAGTTGATATATATAAATACTTTTAGTATTTGAAATGCATTTAAGAATAGACGAATTGAATAAAGAAAATTTTAGATTGATGAAGCCAAAAAAATGTGTGTGCTATTGCGAACCAAATAAAACTTTTCCACAGAGTCATCTCCTCTTGGTTGAGGTATTTAAAATTTTGTCTGTTCTATTGTCCCATTGAATAAATACAATAGCTATTGTTCTCTGTGTAGTTTATTCACTGGGACCTTTAAATTTCTTCCAGGAGAAATCCATCACTCATTTATTAATTTTATAAAAATTGATCTTCTTAATAGATGAAAATACATGTATCAACTCAAAAAAATGCATGTGGTGTTGTATTTATTCAATATCAATAATATATTGTCAATATGTTCGATGTTAACACTGATTCAAACATTAAAAGTTGATTTCTGACAAATTTTTCATAATTGTTTCTATTGAAATTTGTTTTCTTTTGTGTGTATGACAAATAAAAACTGGAAAATGATAATTTTTAAATTAAGGCCTTCTCAAATGTATTCTTTAACTAAAATTTTTTTTAAAAAAATGCAAATTTCAATAGGAACAATGCTAAAAACATTGTAAGAAATCAACTTTTTATGATGATGGAAATGAATCTGTGGAAAGTTTCAGTTGGAACGCAATAATGATTTCCTTTGTAACAACAATAAATCAGGATATTTTTTAGTCACAATCAGGAAAATACTGTGCTCTTGTGAAGTCTGATTTCTGTATTATATACATACTGCTTTGCATAATAACATTATAAACATATTGATGACAGTTCAAAACTACCATATATCGCATGTGTTTAATTTTCGCTTTTTTCGCGTAAGCTAATGTTATTTCATCTTTAGGGTGAAGAGATTTCAAATCAATTTCGTGTATACTCGATAAAAAAATAGTATAATGTATGAAATTTTGAAACAGCGTTAAATCTTTGAATATGCAGGGAAATTTAAGCTAATTTAATCGCGTAAATTTCCCTGCATATTCAAAGATTTATCGCTGTTTCAAAATTCCATACATTATACTGTTTATTATCGAGTATACACGAAATTGATTTGAAATCTCTTCACCCTTAAGATGAAATAACATTACATGTATATATAAAATCAGCCTTTTGTGATGTTCGACAGATCATAAAAATGAGCATACTCAATTAAGATCTCTGTTTTCATAATAATTAGATAAGCTATTAATATATGTGACACCTTTCGACAACACAGCAATCAGTGACACGTTAAAAAATGATAATTACCTGCGATCTATTAATTGGTGTCATAACCTGAACATTTTGCATAATGTAAAAATGAAATAAAAAATAAATCACATTTATACGGATATTTATATTTGTTATACCATTACACAAATGATCAAAACCTTTAATTTTTAGCATCCAGCTTTGTACATAATTTATGCTCCTTGAAAGTTCTCCGAATTATGTGTATTTTAAGTTGCAGTACTATTTATTTGTAATCGATTACCTGTCAGTCAATAAAATTTATATTGTTTACATCTCTATCAATACGATACAGTTATTTTTTCGCTTGTATTTTCACATTCAGCGAAAATTAAACACAGTGAAAATTTAACCTGCCCATTTTGTCATCAAATCGCGAAAAAAGCCTACGTGAAAAAACCCTGATATATGGTACATCAAATGTAAGTATTATTTAAATTATGCAAGTGTTTAAATCTGGTGGATGGTGTAAAATTACATTGTTTCTATTTGTATTAGAATCATTTTCTGTTTTAACTTATATGGAAATATTCCATCTTCTTTCACATACTTCTATATTTCAGGTGTAGATGATGAAGTTGTGAAGTTATATGACCTGACAGCTTTATGTTCAGACAGTGTGAATGATAGTCCTTTTACAGTACCCCTAGGAATGTTGTTGTACAGGGTTGCAAGGAACTTGTGGCAGCAAGATGTTAAGAAAAAGAGATCCACCATCAGAACATTATTAGAAAATTGTTTAATTTTACTAGATGAAGACAAACATGCACAGGTTTAAAAATATATATAGATAAAAAATAAAAGGAGATGCAGGGTACACGTTAATTGGGTGACAACCAATGACACAAATAAACAAAAGACATAAAGGCCAACATTATGTCATTATGTTGTTTTACATCATTTTTGCATCTGGTTAGCAAAACATATTTTGCTCTTCTCCTTTGCCTTTTGAACTTTCAATGAATAACAAGATTTAATCTTGAGAAAACAATATTTTCCTCTCATAAAAGATATTACAACTTTTTCAAAAGTAAAAAGTGATAGTTATATTTGCTTAGAATGATACAAACAAAAGATGTGTTTATATAAAAATAAGAAGATGTGGTATGATTACCAATGAGACAACTCTCCACAAGAGACCAAATGAAACAGAAATTAACAACTATAGGTCACCGTATGGCCTTCATCAATGAGCAAAGCCCATACCCCATAGTCAGCTATAAAAGGCCCGGAAATGACAAATGTAAAAAACAATTCAAACGAGAAAACTAAAGGCCTGATTTATGTACAAATTAATGAACAAAAAACAAATATGATATACAGCAACAAATGACAACCACTGAATTACAGGCTCCTGACTTGGGACAGGCACATACAGAATGTGGCGGGGTTAAACATGTTAGCGGGCGCCAAACCATCCCCCTAATCTGTGACAGTGGTGTAACAGTACAACATATGAGCAAACTATAAAAATCAGTTGGAAAGGGCATAACTCATCAGATAGATACAAAGCACAAAAACAAGTAACAAAAACACAGAGTGGATGTGGCAGGGTACTTGTACATCCTCACAACAAAAAAGACACTAAGTACAGATCTTAGAGTACTTGCAGTTACTGACAGCTATTTCAAAGCCAATAACAACTGATAGAAAAAATCATACATCTAAGACTAAAATATCAATCAGTACACATCCAACATCCAATTGATTTAGAGAAAAGACGTCATAAACAGTCAGAGAAAAACATGACCTTGTGCAATGCCAAGATATAGGTATTGACAGATTGTAGAGCCATGAATATGCATATGTATGTCAAAATAATACTTAGTTTATGTTATGATATAGAAATAATTGTTATTTTGTTAAACCACCCCTCCTATTTAAGTGAAGCTTGTGAATTTTGGCTGGAAACCAGCTTTTTAGCTCACCTGGCCCGAAGGGCCAAGTGAGCTTTTCTCATCACTTGGCGTCCGTCGTCCGGCGTCGTCCGTCGTCGTCCGTCGTCGGCGTTAACTTTTTACATTTTGAACTTCTTCTACAGAACCACTGAATGGAATGAAACCAAACATGGCATGAATGTTCCTTATGAGGTGCTGACCAAGTGTTGTTACTTTGTAGCCGATCCATCATCCAAGATGGCCGCCAGCGGGGGACTAAGTTTAACATAGGACCCTATGGGAAATGCATACAAATGACTTCTTTTAGAGAACCACTGAATGGAATAAAACATAACATGGCATGAATGTTCCTTATGAGGTGCTCACCAAGTGTTGTTACTTTGTAGCCGATCCATCATCCAAGATGGCCGCCAGCGGGGGACTTAGTTTAACATAGGACCCTATGGGAAATGCATACAAATGACTTCTTTTAGAGAACCACTGAATGGAATAAAACCAAACATGGCATGAATGTTCCTTATGAGGTGTTAACCATGTGTTGTTACTTTGTAGCCGATCCATCATCTAAGATGGCTGCCATCGGGGAACTTAGTTTAACATAGGACCCTATGGGAAATACATACAAATGTCTTCTTTTAGAGAACCACTGAATGGAATGAAACCAAACATGGCATGAATGTTCCTTATGAGGTGCTGACCAAGTGTTGTTACTTTGTAGCCGATCCATCATCCAAGATGGCCGCCAGCGGGGGACTTAGTTTAACATAGGACCCTATGGGAAATACATAAAAATGTCTTCTTTTAGAGAACCACTGAATGGAATGGAACCAAACATGGCATGAATGTTCCGTATGAGATGCTGACCAAGTGTTGTTACTTTGCAGTCGGTCCATCATCCAAGATGGCCGCCAGCGGGGGACTTAGTTTAACATAGGACCCTATGGGAAATACATACAAATGTCTTCTTTTAGAGAACCACTGAATGGAATGAAACCAAACATGGCATGAATGTTCCTTATGAGGTTCTGACCAAGTGTTGTTACTTTGTAGCCGATCCATCATCCAAGATGGCCGCCAGCGGGGGACTTAGTTGAACATAGGACCCTATGGGAAATACATACAAATGTCTTCTTTTAGTGAACCACTGAATGGAATGAAACCAAACATGGCATGAATCTTCCTTATGAGATGCTGACCAAGTGTTGTTACTTTGTAGCTGATCCATCATCCAAGATGGCCCCCAGCGGGGGACTTAGTTTTACATAGGACCCTTTGGGAAATACATAAAAATGTCTTCTTTTAGAGAACCAATAAATGGAATGGAACCAAACATGGCATGAATGTTCCTTATGAGATGTTGACCAAGTGTTGTTACTTTGCAGCCGATCCATCATCCAAGATGGCCGACAGCGGGGGACTTAGTTTAACATAGGACCCTATGGGAAATACATACAATTGTCTTCTTTTAGAGAACCACTGAATGGAATTGAACCAAACATGGCATGAATGTTCCTTATGAGTTGCTGACCAAGTGTTGTTACTTTGCAGTCGATCCATCATCCAAGATGGCCGCTAGGGGGGGGGGGGGCTTAGTTTAACATAGGACCCTATGGGAAATACATACAAATGTCTTCTTTTAGAGTACCACTGAATGGAATGAAACCAAACATGGCATGAATGTTCCTTATGAAGTGCTGACCAAGTGTTGCTACTTTGTTGCCGATTTACTGTTCAAGATGGCCACCAGGATATTTTATTAAATAACGGGACCAATATTAATCAAAATTTGGCCTCAATCATTATTTGGGTATCTGTTATGATTTTTATCTATCTTTACATGATTTCTAAAACCAAAGTAGAGTCAGGTGAGCGACACAGGCTCTTGAGAGCCTCTAGTTGGTTATTATCTTGAATATTATTATAGATAGAGATAAACTGTAAACAGCAATAATGTTCAGCAAAGTAAGATTAACAAATAAGTCAACATGACTGAAATGGTCAGTTGACCCCTTTAGGAGTTATTGCCCTTTATAGTCAATTTTTAACCATTTTTCGTAAATCTTAGTTATCTTTTACAAAAATCTTCTCCTCTGAAACAACTGGGCCAAACTAAACCAAACTTGGCCACAATCAATATTAGGGTATCTAGTTTAAAAAATGTGTGGCGTGACCCGGCCAACCAACCAAGATGGCGGCCACAGCTAAAAATAAAACATAGGGGTAAAATGCAGTTTTTGGCTTATAACTCAAAAACCAAAGCATTTAGAGCAAATCTGACATGAAGTAAAATTGTTTATCAGGTCAAGATCTATCTGCCCTGAAATTTTCAGATGAATCGAACAACCTGTTGTTGGGTTGCTGCCCCTGAATTGGTAATTTTAAGGAAATTTTGCTGTTTTTGGTTATTATCTTGAATATTATTATAGATAGAGATAAACTGTAAACAGCAATAATGTTCAGCAAAGTAAGATTAACAAATAAGTCAACATGACTGAAATGGCCAGTTGACCCCTTTAGGAGTTATTGCCCTTTATAGTCAATTTTTAACAATTTTTCGTAAATCTTAGTAATCTTTTACAAAAATCTTCTCCTCTGAAACTACGTGGCCAAATTAAACCAAACTTGGCCACAATCATCATTTGGTTATCTAGTTTTAAAAATGTGTGGCGTGACCTGGTCAACCAACCAAGATGGCCGCCACGGCTAAAAATAGAACATAGGGGTAAAATTCAGTTTTTGGCTTTTAACTCAAAAACCAAAGCATTTAAAGCAAATCTGACATGAAGTAAAATTGTTTATCAGGTCAAGATCTATCTGCCCTGAAATTTTCAGATGAATCGTTGCTGCCTTTGAATTGGTAATTTTAAGGTAATTTTGCTGTTTTTGGTTATTATCTTGAATATTATTATAGATAGAGATAAACTGTAAAAAACAATAAATGTCGGCAAAGTAAGATCTACAAATAAGTCAACATGACCGAAATTGTCAGTTGACCCCTTTAGGAGTTATTGCCCTTTATAGTCAATTTTTAACCATTTTTTCGTAAATCTTAGTAATCTTTTACAAAAATCTTCTCCTCTGAAACTACTGGGCCAAGTTAATTATAGATAGAGATAATTGTAAGCAGGAAAAATGTTCAGTAAATTAAGATGTACAAACACATCACCATCACCAAAACACAATTTTGTCATGAATCCATCTGCGTCCTTTATTTAATATTCACATAGACCAAGGTGAGCGACACAGGCTCTTTAGAGCCTCTAGTTTTATTGCAGAATAACTTTGGTTGTTTTTCTGAAGTTAGAGTAAAAGTAAAAAGTCAATGTCAACAGTTTTCTAAAAGTTACCAAGAATAATAGATTTTACTTTTTTATCACAAATAACACACATGAATTATAACCACTACTTGATGTTGATATTATTACACAAAAAGCCCATTACTTAATGACTGTATTAGTAAATAAGTCCATTACTTTATAACTGTATTAGTAAATAAGGTCTTGTACCAAATAATAATAATATATGTTTCAGGTTTATACATCAGCATGTTATCTGCTATCAGACTTGTATGTACCTGAATCTGCAGTGAATGATGATTGGGATGATGGCGGTAGTGAAAATGGGGACACAGATGACAGTGAACATAGTGAAGTAAATATAGACATTTCTATAAAAACAATAAGGGAATATGGTAGTATATCCATCCTATTTATGGGATGAGGTGTAATCCAATAATTATACTACTTGCAAACAATTTTTTTGGGAGTATATAGATATCATACCTTCGGTCTTTCTGTCCTTCCTGTGGTCCCTCTGTCTGTCTGTCTGCTCATGTGCCTTGTTAATGCAACTCTAAAGGGAATAGAAATTGATGAACCTTTACACAGTTGGAGATCACTTCATGAGGATTTGCATTTAATATTAGGAATATAATGCAAGTCCTACTGTTTAGAGCAGATAATCAAACTTACTTAATCCGTGGTAATAGTCTCTCATAAAATCAACTTCTCCTAATTAGCTACATGGGTATTGATGAAACTTTACACATTTGTAGAATATTACTTGAGGATGTGCATAAAGAAATATTACCCCTATTAACATGCTATTGGGGAGATAATCCAATTTTCAGGGTGGGGTGATCCTTTTTGTGAATTCCTTCACAGTTCTAGTTTTAACCATGTTTTCCTGAGCTATTCAACCAATGCTTTTAAAGTTTGAAATGTCGTACTGATAACCAAATGGATTTTAAGTTTGATATTGACAATTTTAACTTTTGCTGTTCAGGAGTTGATTGATTTTATGTCGTTTCCATGCAATAAGTTGAGAACCTTTCTACCAATGCTTTTTTAAGTTTTTATATGTTGTTATTGAAAATATATACAGGTCAAATTGGATATCTACAATTTTCAATTTTGCTTTTGAGGAGTTATGATCCTTGATAGATTTGAAAAATTATGTTAGTTTTTTTAAAAAATGAACAGGTTAATATACTATTGACACTTTAGTTCAGAAAGGTCACTTGTGATGTCACTATGCCATCGTAAACATGTTAAAATTTTCATATTTGAGCTAAAATGGCCATTTCACGTTCAGTTTTTGATAAAATTGTAAAAAGATAGTAAAAATCTTTTAACGGATAACCTACTTTAGAAAAATATTGATCTTTAATTTTTTTACCTGCTCAGACACAACTTTTAAATCGTTGTTCAAACAAAACTGTCTAGCAGGTTTTATATGACCGTGACCTCATTTTCATGGTTCATTGGTCAATGCTAAGCCTTCATGGTTTTGTCAGTTTATCAGATACCGTAACCACTAGGTAAACTATATTTGGTGTATGGAATGATTGTAAGATGTACATGTCTTTCTGGCAGGGTTCATCTTACCTTGACCTCATTTACATGGTTCTTTGGTCAGTGTTAAGTTTTTTTGTGGATTGGTCTGTTTCTCAGGAAAATAAGCAATAGGGCCACTATATTTTGTGTATGGAATGATTGAAAGGGAAAATGTCTGTCTGGCATGGTTCATGTGACCTTGACCTCATTTTAATGGATTATTGATAATATTAATGTATGTGATAATTCTTGTAAAATCTTCATATTACAGACTTTTAACATAAATTCAATCATGATAAGTAAAGCAGGCTAGACATTTCAGTATGAACACTCTTGTTTTTATCGATATGCAGCAAAAATTAGTTTATCAAGCTTCTAATGCAATTATCTTGATAAATAACAAAAATTTGCATTTCATAATTTTAAAAATCCTGCCTTATACTTAAGCTTTTTTATGCCCTACCTAGGGGCATTATGTTTTTCGGTCTGTGCGTCTGTTCGTCCATCCGTTAGTCCGTCTGTCCCGCTTCAGGTTAAAGTTTTTGGTCAAGGTAGTTTTTGATGAAGCTGAAGTCCAATCAACTTGAAACTCAGTACACATGTTCCCTATGATATGAGCTTTCTAATTGTAATGCCAAATTAGAGTTTTGACCCCAATTTCACGGTCCAAAAATGATAGTGCGAGTGGGGCATCTGTGTACTATGGACACATTCTTGTGTAAACTGGCAATGTCTTGTTTGACCTTTCCAGCAAGAAGAGGAGTGTAGGGATAATACAACAACAACCATAGATGTTAAAGCTTTATGTGTCAAGTCACAGAGTTATTGTAAAGCTAGAGAGTTTATTCATACCAAATGTATGACAGAAAATGTACAAGAAAGATGTAACATTACATTACAGTTTATAGCCAAGGTATGTATTCCTTGTTTGATCACCTTTACAATGGTCATTTTGTCACATTTCGAGCATGAAGGAGTTGAATGCATATATTATAATATTTTGCTTTTAAATGCTGTCGTTGATATAAATCTAATCATAATTATATTATAGAATCAATTGCTGTTTTCTCTGAACGTATCCTTGTCGACGTATTGTCCTTTTCTGAAGTTCACAATGTGTAAACTGGTTTTGAAACCTATAAAATTACTTAAAAATTCAAAGGTTTTACAGAATCATTTATAGTTCATATGCATAAGGCCTAGTTTATACATATATAAATTTAGATCAAAAATGTTTAAATGTTTATATTTTCAATGATCCAGAGACAAAAGAAGTGTTTTGATTAAGTATTATGCAGAGTATACTGAAATGAAATTAGTATATTGTTGTTATGAATATGCATCTAATATTTGCTAGCTGAAATAAAATACACACCAATATAAATTAGTGTGATTACATGTAGAGAAAACACCTGCAAGGTTATTCAATTTGTACGAGCAAGGATTGAAATGGTATTTATAAACAGCTAGTTTACAAATTTTTTGTTTGTTTCTTATTTGAAGCACATAATTGCATATACATGTATTTTAAAGCTTAAATTGATATTCTAAAAAGACAAATTGAAAATTCTGCAAAGAGAACTTTTAATTAATAATATTGACATCAAAAGTGTTCAGATAGCCTTACATCTCATTTTTTTCTTGCTATTACTTGATCTGTTATTCATAATATTATATAAACTGAAAGAGTTCAAACTTTGACAAAGGAGATTAATGTCGGTGAACCTCAATTTGATATTGTTGATGAATTTTCTGATTTGATTTTGACATGTATAAAAGTGTACAACTTTATGCCACAATTTCTGTATACAAAAGCATATCAGTATACTGTAAATATCATATGCAATTATTAGATTATAAGCAATACATTAAATGTCATGAAGAATCAAGCTAATATCATTTTAATTTCTTTATATTTATCAGGGTTTGAAATCTGTAGATAAAGATTTTACAATACAAACGAGAAAGCAGCATCATATTGTAGAAGAACAAAGACGATGTTACAGTAATGAGGCTATTCCTCTTCATTATGAACCTTTAAAGAAATCAGCACCTCCGTTTGATGATAAACATACCCCACTGCACGACATGGAACATTTACAGGTTTCAGAAACTACTTCTTCAAGAACTTGGCATCGTCTATCAAAAGTTTTACTGCTGCAGAAAGCAACCATAACTTTCTATTCCATTGCAAAATCATCATTTGTTGCACATAATCTGTCCTACAGCTTTAAATATATAAAGCTAGCATTACAATGTTTTGGTAGGTACTTCTTATTATTCTAAGAAAAGAGTATTCTTATATGATTTCGATGATGAATGCTTTTATTTCAACTATAAATTGAAATAAGCATGGATTAAAAAAAATGGAAAAAAAGTTCTGGCTTATAATAATATGATAATGTTATCATAAATGTTACATTAGCCTGTATTTCTTTGCAAAAAAAGATGCAATCTGATTAAAATGCAGATCATGTGTCTAAGCATTGTCAAGCTTAGATTGGAGAAGATGTGGTATAATTGCTGATGAGACAACTATCTACCAGAGACCAAATGTATGCAGTCTTCAACAATGAGCAAAACCCATACTGTATAGTTGACCATTAAAGGTCCTGACATAAAAAGATGTAAATCTGTTATAGTTATCCATGAAAGGCCCTGACATAAAAAGATGTAAATCAATTCAAACAAAAATATCAAAAACCTGATTAATGTACATAACTAGAAGCAAAAAAAACCAAATATGATTGACAGCAGCAAACTACAACCACTGAATTACAGGCTTCTGACTCAAGACAGGCACATACAGAATGTGGCAGGGTTAAATATGTTTGAACCTGCTCAGAGGGGCAATTACAAGATAATTCACTCATTTACTTCCCTTCGAGTTTTACTAGAGCTTTTTTTTTATTAACTACAAAGTTTTGGTTAAAATTTATACACATAGAATGTTGGATTTAATTTATTATACACCCACTCCCAAAGTAGCTGGTATATTGCATTCATCTTGTATGGTTGTTCTTCCTTGCTGTCCGTCTGAGTCATTTGCTGCATATAACTCCTCAGTATTGTGGAGTGATTTGATGTTTGGCCTAAAACTTTATAATGATGAGTAGCTGTTGCTATTTAAAGTGATTTTCAGTATTGCTGTTCATTTTACCTATTTTGATAATACTTTTTACTTTTTAATTTTTGATATACCTTCTATGGAATTTTTCGTCATACATTTCAAAGAATGATATAATAGGCAGTGATATAGGTGTCATTTCTCTTTGCAAAATATTTGGTAAAATTTTAATTCCAGTTGGTAATTGGAAAATTATCTATTGTCAGCATGGTTAGGACAGTTGATCAAAGGAAGACAATTCTAATAATGTTTAAGCTTTTAAGGGATATAATAAAAACTGGATATCATAGTTGCATTTGTTCTATGTTTAACTTTCATTTAATGAAAGGTATTAGAATGTCATTGGCATTTGTTATTGTCAGATTGTGGTAATATAATATGCACAATGTGGTGATTTGTACATTCTACTATATTTGAAACTGTTATCATTCCAACATTTATACTGGAGGGAGTCCTGTTGTCATTGAAGATCAGTTGTCTGATATTGAAGGAACCAGAAGAAATTTTAACACAAATCTTATCAGGCATTTTTTTTTTATTAAACTAACATTCAACTTGGCTTTATCTAAGAGGTCTATTTAACAAACTGAATCCAGTTGTTATTTCTTCCTTTTGGATGTGTGTTTAATGGATTTAGCATTTAGGTCAGTGTTGGAAACATTGAGCATATAAAATTTTATAGAACTTATTATTATTATTTTAATAGTACTAATTTCAGGGCTTTTACAGTAGTTGATTGAGGTTTTGTAAAAGAGGGATTGGGATCAAGGATCCGGAAATTTTTTCACACAATTTCAGTCATTTTGAGATGTCTTAAAAGTTGGTGCCCTTTTTCAAATTGTTGATATCGAATGGTCACTAGATTCATAGCATTAACGAACTTGCTTGTATTGGCTGTTCATCACATTTACTTTGTGAATTTTCTTGCCATTTTACTCAAAACTTGCAAGAACAGTTTAGGGAAGGCAACAGTTTAAATTTGAAATGATTTTAATGACTCAAAATGGTTAAGTTCTCAGACATCGCTAATGTTTCTTTCGATTTTAGACGAAATTTAAACCAGAAGTTTTGCAACAATTCTAAAGTACGATTAATTCCGGATTCATTTCCAGGATTCGTTTTGTTTATCAAATTGACAGGAAATCACCGGGTTTTAAATTTTATTACCTTTGAAAGTGTTTAAATATAATATATATTAGTTGCACAGTTGCACTCGTTTAATTAAGCATGAAATCATTTTGCATTTTACGATTAAGTGTCCTATCTGCTGAAGACAATTTCACGCATGCATATTACATAGTAGATAAAGCACATGTGTTACCCGTGAAAAATTACTTTTTTCTACGTATATTAAATTAAGTTTTAATTTTCAAATCAGAATAATTGATTGTCTTTGCTGAAAAGTAATTAAATAATGAATACCGTTGTCATGGAATTTTAATTTCTTTATGATATTAGTTCTGAGCTTGTGATCATTGTCAGGTGTGAATTAAAAACACAGGTAAAAGGTAATTAGCGATCTTTAGCCAATATTTCCTAGAGGTATGATATAGTTATTAGGAGGGCCCTCAGGATTATCAAACTATACTGGAGTGGCAGTTTTATTACAGGAAAGGGATTTTAAAACAAAAACAAGTGCAAAATGGCGATTAAGAAACTCAATGAAATGACAGAAATTATTTCTGTAAAAAAATAAAATTTGTCATAAATCCCAATGTTTTGTTTTGGACAAATAGATTGCAGCTTAGGACATGACTGGCGAATATGACCATTTCCAGACCCTTGATTGGGATACCAGAATATCAAATTTTACTATCATTTAAAACTTTACAAGGGGAGACAAACTTGTATTGGTATTTGGTATTCTGTAAGGTTGGGAATGAAAGGCCCTCTCAAGCTCATTGAAATCTGTGCTGTATAATTCCATCATCAATGTTTTTGTTTTTATTTTAGCTGGAATAAGAATATTGTTACCAAAGAAAGCACATGGCGATGCAGGGTTACTTGTACAGATTTTGAGTTTAGCTGGTGATATTCATCTTATGTACATACACAGAGGTGTTGACACAGAAACTATTGTTCCAGAATACAGTGATGAAGAAATCACTATAATGGATAGTGTTAACAGAGAATTAGAAACATTTGGTAAATATTTTTTGAAAAGATTGGAACTATTTTTCCAGTTCTTTTCTTAGAAATTCATCACCATCCAGGATGTAGCCATGTTAGCCACTAAACCTAAGGTACGTCTAAACACCGCTCAGGACCTCCTGGGTGCACTCAGGACATACAAGGTGCACTCAGGACATGACATATATGTTTTGGTTAGTGGTGAAGGTATGCATTCGATAGATAATTTAATTCTTCATCTTATAATTATTGTTTTGATAAAATCAATTTAATATTTAAAAAGTTATTAAGGTTTTCATCGGCACGCGCCGTTTTTATGAAATATGTCAGGCATGACCGATGATTATATTGAATACCAATTATCATGTTGATTAAGTCGTTTGATCTTTAATAATTAGGAGTGATTAGTGATGGTACTTACCTCATACAAGTAAGCTTGGCAAACAAACAAAATCAAGATGTTTTTTGAAAAATAAAGAACAATGAATATATATTGTTTTAGAAAAAAACCGTTAAATAAACATTTTTCTTTTTGTTTGTAATAATTGAAGCCAGTCGAGAAATATGAGAAATCTACATGTATAGTTGGGAAATTTTCATTCAATTCATTTCATTTCATTAACTTAATAGATAAAAAAAATATCGTTATTATTTTCTTTGTATAGATTTTCGTATTTTATTAAAATTTCGTGCAATAAAAAGTTTAGTTTTATTCTTAGTTCAAAAATTAAGAAGAATAATTCTTTCGTATTTTCATATCTCTAGATATATTACAATAGACTTTAATTGCATTGTTCCATAGTAAAAAAAAGAATCGGTGAAACACCATTTATAATTTACTTTCAAGATAACAGTTAATCTGATCACTCACTAAAAATAGCGTTGAATTAAAAAAAAAATATTGGTATCATTGCGTTCTAATTCTTATTTATATAATTGTGTGTGTGTGTTTTTGTTCTATTTTCTTGTCTTTGAGATTCATTCAAATAATTAACAACTGTTTGACCAATGAGAGGCTGTGTATGTATAACATAACGATTCAATCAAAATTTCATTTAGTTAGATATATTCCCCTATTGAAACTCGTTCTTGTCCAGTAATAAATCCCTTGAATGAGTTTGAAAAGGGAAATAAATTTGTCATACTTTTCATGAATTAAGATTTAGTTTTGTAAATGGAACCCGTTCTTAACTGTAGAAGCCGTACTTGCCAAAATACGCTTTTCAAATAATCAAATCTCATATAGTTAGTGTTCTTTCTCATTTTTATCGTTCTTGTCCAGTAATTTCATTCTTGAGTAATACGAATGTTTTAAAAATCCGCATTTATTAAGATTTATCTTTCTCATTAAAGTTGTTCTTGTCTAGCTGTAATACAAGCCTTGAACGAATTCCAATGTGAAAATAAATTCTGAAAAATTAATTTGTCTCCGTTTTCTGAAAATTATCATATTTGGGTATTATTTCTGAATAGTTTGTAAGTAAACGAAATCCGTTCAAACCACGACTAAGTCTTCGTGCAAAGAGTTTGAAGTGCCAAAACCCCAAAAACTTGCTCGTAAGCCAAACCAAAGGAAAAGACCAAGGACAGCACGTACGCAGCCAAGATATTAGACTTAGCAAATCATATAAATAAATACTGATCTGTCTTATTAAGGTTAAGTTCTAAATATTGTCATTGAAAATATAGGACCAGTTCATAATTTCAATAAATTTGTTATCTATATCAAGGCTGTGAAGATCTAGAATAAATTTTGAACATTCATGAAAAAGGTTATATCGAATATCGTCATAAAGTGTGCATTCCATAAGGAAATGTTTTTCAGTCTCGACACTGCAACTTTCACAAAACTTAATAACATCGTGTTATTCATTTTAAACGTAACACAGTACTAACAACACAATTCATAAACAACAATAAAGATAATCCAATCAATTTTGTTGATTGGATAATTCACGGCTCAGTGACACGTGCCCTCATTATTTCATAAGAATTAACATATCTATCTAAGTTCGATTTCAAATTGTACCAAAATTTAACTCTTAAATAAGCAGCGTGTAACAAATATATTCATCCATCCTGTGTGCAAATACGATGACTATAAAGGGTCCTGAGTGCACATTGTATGTCCTGAGTGCACTCAGGAGGTCCTGAGCGGTGTTTAGACGTACCCCTAAACCTATACTTATTAAGATATAGTTCCCAATACTTCTTATGTCTATATAAGTATGCACAAATGAATTGTAAAAAAAAATGGGTTATATCTTAACAGCAGTTTATTCAATTATGTATGACATTAGTTTCATCAACTTGCTGGCTAGTTTGGTCATTTTAATTGTATCACCTGTGACAAATATGGCAGAATGTGAGACATAGGGATGACACATATCTTGTTCTTGACATTATTTTCATGGTTCACTGGCTTCTTAAATGTGTAACACATTCAATGGCTGTTGTTTAGTATTAGCCATCTATAATGATATCGATATAAGTCAATGTTGCACAGACTTTATCAAAGCCCAAAAGAAAATGATCTGCTTTAAGTATATAATAGTGTATATAGTGTATATCATATGGCTTTTCAATATTAAACACCCTCAACCTTATAATACACCAAGCAGAGTCATCAGGATTACAGTAATGTCTCTGGTTGATATTGGTGTGAAATTGAAAAAGCCATAAAACATTCTCTATATAATATAGTTACAAATTGGAAGACTTTCTTGTCCTCTGAGACAAATTGTGTCACAAAAATACAAAAATGATATTGATTTAAAAATGTAAAACTATTGAATCACAAATTAAGATAGCATACTAGAACAGACAGTGGTTTACTTTAAAAACTTTGCCGAATTGTTCAAAATGCATCATTTTTGCATCATTTGGGAACAAAAACATGAAACATGACCTAAATTTCAAGCTTAAAAAAGACCAATATCAAGTCAAAATATTTCAAGACCCTAAATGGTGACCTCAAACAATAGTTTCCATTTTGGCAACATCTATGTTGAATTAACTGCTTTAAATCTTTTTTCATTCTTTTAGAATACGAATGGGTATGTTCACTACGTGATGAGATGAAAGGGAGACTACTCTTGTGTTGCCAGTGTTATTCTGTTGCCATTGAAACAGCTCAATCCATAACAACAGATTCAAAATGTGAACCAGTACTTTCATTAACAAAAAGACATGGTAACATTCTTAATGAGTTGGGAGTGTGGTACATGAACCAAGCACAATGTCTTCTCCAAAAACCAGGTAATTTTTAAAATACTATACAGATCAAATGTCTTAAATTACCATGTAAAAAACCTTCAACTCCGAAACTATTGCTAGGTTGAAAATTCTATAGATTTTTAGCGACCTTGACTACCCATTAGGGTCTTGCAATTTAGAGTTATTGCTCTTTCATGGTGATGATTCTTACCAATTTTTAGCTCACCTGACCCAAAATGGTCAAGTGAGCTTTTCTCATCACTTAGCGTCCGTTGTCCGTCATCGTCGTCCGTCAACTTTTACAAAAATCTTCTCCTCTGAAACTACTGGACCAAATAAAACCAAACTTAGTCTAAAACATCCTTAGGGTATCTAGTTAAAAAAAAAATGTATCCGATGACCCCAGCCATGAACAAAGATGGCCGCCATGGCTAAAAATAGCATAAATGTGGTAAAATGCAGTTTTTGGCTTATATCTCTGAAACTATAGCATTTAGAGCAAATCTGACAGGGAAAAATTGTTCATCAGGTCAAGATCTATCTCATCTATAATATCATTTTTGTATAAAATTAAAGAATATTTGCCTATACACACAAGACAACTATTTTATAATGCATATATTCTACCATATATAGACTATTGTAGTTCAGTTTGGGGAAATTTATTACAAAAAGATTCAGATAGAATTATAAAACTTCAAAAAAGAGTAGCAAGAATTATACTTGAATGTGATATATCTGTTCCATCTAATTTTATGTTTTCTTCTTTAAAATGGCTATCTTTTATAAAAAGAATAAAATACCAACAATCAATTCTAATGTATAAAATTGTAAATGGACTAACACCTGATTACTTAGCAATGCTAAATATTAATGAGGTTCAACACTACAACTTACGATCTGTCTCTTATAAAGATCTATTTGTTCCAAGACCAAATACAAATTAAACCAAACTTAGCCTAAATCATCCTTAGGGTATTTAGTTTTAAAAAATGTATCTGATGACCCCGTCCATCAACTAATATGGCCACCATGGCTAAAAATAGAATATTGGGGGGGTTGGTAAAATGCAGTTTGGCTTATATCTCTGAAACTAATTCATGTAGAGCAAATCTGACGTGGTAAAAATGTGGTAAAATGCAGTTTGGCTTATATCTCTAAAACTAATTCATGTAGAGCAAATCTGACATGTGGTAAAAATGTTCATCAGGTTAAGATCTATCTGCCCAGAAATTTTCACACACATCAGACAACCTGTTGTTGGGTTGCTGCCCCTGAATTTGTAATTTTAAGGAAATTTTGCAGTTTTTATACAACCGCAAAATTTTGCGGTTGTATATTGGTATGACGTTGGCGGCAGCGTCATCGTCGTCATCGTCCTTGTCCGAAGACACATTGGTTTTCGCACTCTAACTTTAATTTAAGTGAATGGATCTCTATGAAATTTTACCATAAGGTTCAATACCACAAAAGGAAGGTTGGGATTGATTTTGATGGTTATGGTACCGACAGTTAAGGAATTAGGGGCCAAAAAGGGGCCAAAAATAAGCATTTTTGTATCTTCCAGACATAACTTGTGTGTTAGTGTATGGATCTCTCTGACATTGTACTACAAGGTTCCATATTACAAAGGGAATGCTGGGATAAGTTTTGGGGGTAATTGCCTCAAGATTTTAGGAATTAGGGGCCAAAAAAGGGGCAAAAAACAAGCATTTTTCTAGTTTCATGACAATAACTTGTGTGTAAGTGTATGAATCTTTCTGAAATTGTACTACAAGGTTCCATGTCACAAAGGGAAAGCTGGAATTGAGTTTGGGGGTAATTGCCCAAAACGTTTAGGAATAAGGGGCCAAAAAAGGGCTAAAATAAGCATTTTTCTAGTTTCCAGACAATAACTTGTGTTCAAGTGTATGGATCTCTCTGAAATTGTACTGCAAGGTACCATACCACAAAGGGAAGGCTGGGATTGATTTTGGGGGTAATTGCCTCAAAATTTTAGGAATTAGGAACCAAAAAGGGGCAAAAAAACAAGCATTTTTCTAGTTTCAGGACAATAACTTGTGTGTAAGTCAAGGCTTCCAAAACGGTCATATATTCTGGACATTTGTATAATGTCCGGTAAAAGTCCGGCTGGGCAAAGCATGAAACGGACAACTTCTTTTTAGTTTTCAAAGCTTAAGAGACGGTCATTTTAACATAATTCGCTATCTTTTTGACCCAACCTTTTGCCTTTAACAGCCACACATTTCCGGTCATAAAAGTGACATGATCATTGAGTACTATCAAAACAACCCCTACTTTAATACCTTCTCATTTTAATCAAGGCTAATTAGTTGTCGAACAGCTGAAATTTACCTGTTCACGTAACAGGTAAACTATTTTGAACCGGACATTGATCGGTCTATTCAGAGTTACTTTCTTACATTTCAGCGGTTTGCATCTAATTAATTTAGTTAAAAAGATTTAAATTATCAGAAATACGTTTACAAATATGATTTGATGAAAAAATTAAAACGGTGAAAATGAAAAATCGTCATAACCACGTTGCTTGAACCAGAGACATGTCTCTGTTGGAACTAGTACACGTGTGCGCATGTGCGCAGGTGTGAAATTTAATTATGCATCCTAATTTCTTCAAAAAATGCTTAAATTGTCATTGATACCTTTATCTCACGTTTATTTCGAATATTTTCTTGAAGAAATAACGTAGAAAGAGCTACTTACACTCATTCATGTTTTGCAAACGTACACAGAATTTACATATCCGTCTCTGGTCCATGTTTTACCATTGTCAAGATAACATCCGGTTTAGATTTAAAAACGAAAGTAAAGTTTTTGACAACGTTATTTTGCACAAATAAAGAGTCTAAGCAGATATAAGTACGCTGATGTTGCACACTTCGAATGATACACTGCCAATTTAACAGTTTACGTCAGAACTTCGAATTTGAATCAAAGAAAGTTTAATATCGTTTTTTTTTAATGTCAATCATTGGGATGGCCAACTCAGCAACTGATTACCATAATTGCCTTTTATTTATTTAGTCTTAAGGGATTAAAATCGGGATAATATATAAAATGTCCGGCTGGCTAAAAATAATTTTGGAAGCCCTGGTGTAAGTGTATGGATCTTTATGACAATTGTACAACAAGGTTCCATATCACAAAGGGAAAGCTGGGTTTGAGTTTGGGGGTATATGCCGTAAACGTTTAGGAATTTGGGGCCAAAAAGGGGCCTAAAAACAAGCATTTTTCTAGTTTCCAGACAAAAACTTGTGTTCAAGTGTATGGATCTCTCTGAAATTGTACTGCAAGGCACCATACCACAACGGGAAGGCTGGGATTGAGTTTGGGGGTGATGAATCATAAGGGGGTTTAAAAAATTTGGGGGAGGGATTTTTTTTCCCTTTTTTTCCTTTTTTTTTCTTTAAAATTTTCCATTTTAAATTGGTTATTTCTGATTTATATATAAAAGCAAATAATAATGATATTGTTTGAATAGGTAAATTAAAATTTTTTAAGTTCGTAGACCACATTCATTCTGTGTCAGAAACCTATGCTGTGTCAAATATTTAATCACCATTCAAATTCAGTGCTGTATCAAGCGTGAATATTGTGTCCATACTTGCCCCAACTGTTCAGGGTTCGACCTCTGCGGTCGTATCAAGCTGCGCCCAGCGGAGCATTTTATTGGTTATTATCTTGAATATTATTATAGATAGAGATAAACTGTAAACAGCATTAATGTTCAGCAAAGTAAGATCTATAAATAAGTCAACATGACCAAAATGGTCAATTGAACCCTTATTTACTTATGGGGTTTTTTAACGACCTTGACTGGCTATAAAGCCCTCGGACAGTCGGTAATTGACCCATTAAGGAGTTATTGCCCTTTATAGTCAATTTTAACAATTTTTGGTAAATTTTTGTAATCTTTTACAAAAATCTTCTACTCTGAAACTACTGAGACAAATTTAACCAAACTTGGCCACAGTCATCATTAGGGTATCTAGTTTAAAAATGTGTTCGATGACCCCGCCTACCAACCAACATGGCCGACATGGCTAAAAATAGAACACAGGGGGAAAATGCAAGTTTTGTCTATTATTTTTTGAACCGTTATAAATAGAGAAAAACTGAAAGGAGCAAAAAGTTTCAGAATAATGAGCTTTACCAATTGTCCATATACGTCAAAACTGTTAGACAAATTCTTTTTTTTAAATTTTTACAAAAATCTTCTCCTCTTAATCTACGTGGCCAAATGGAATTAAACTTAGCCACAATTAATATAAGAGTATCTTGATTGAAAAATGTATCCGATGACCCTGCCCTACAACCAACATGGTCCCCATTGGTAAAAATAGAACATAGGGGTTTACTATAGCAGTCTGGGAAAAATGTAAAAAAACAATTTCAAATGGTCTCAACTTGAAAACTAATTTAAATAATGATAAGGGGTTTTTAGTAACTATTGTAAGACTACAATGGGATGACTTGATTTTTTTCCAGGGGGTGCAATTTTTTTCGGGGGGGGGAGTGCTAATAATTTCTCCTTGATAAGTGTTACTTTTTCTATAAACCAATATTTTTTCTTATCTTTCAGCATACTTATATTGGGTGAATGCCCCCCCCCCCAGACCTGGCGGGTTAGTCAGGATCAGCCCCTGCTCAAATTTTTTTTGAAGGGTGTTCCATAAAAACATTTAAAGGCATTTTCAGCATTATACTGGCCCTGGGTGAAATAAATTTTGGAGCGGAGGAGAGAAAATTTTTTATTTTTTGTTAATTATCTTGAATGTCATTATAGATTCAGATATACTGTAAACAGCAAAAATATCAAGCAAAGAAAGATCTACAAATAAGTTGACCTGACCAATTGGTAATTGACATCTTATTGGAGTTATTGTCCTTATAAGTGGACACTGTATGGGAGGGAGGGGGCATTAAGTTTTACCCTTGTCTGTCTGTACGTACGTACGTCCCAAAATTGGTTTCCGTTCTCTAACTTTAGTTTGCCTCAACCAAATGTTATGAAACTTATACACAATGCTTATTACCACAAAACACAGATCAAGTTTGAATTTTGGTGGCGTCACTTTTACCATTCTAGAGTTATGCCCCTTTACAAATGGAAAAATTGCTGAAATATTTGTTTCTGTTCTCTAACTTTAGTTTGCCTCAACCAAATGTTATGAAACTTATAAACAATGCTTATTACCACAAAACTCAGATTAAGTACAAATTTTGGTAGCGTCACTTTTACAGTTCTTGGATTATGTCCCTTTATAATGTTATATGCAAGTGGGGGCATCATCTGTGTCCCATGGACACATTCCCCATTTATTTCAGTAACTTTTAGTGCTTACCCCAACTTTATTTGATGGATATCATATGTCACCTGACCATTGTAAACCTTATTTTCAAAATAAGTTTTTCGAAATTAGGTCTGTTTCATAGTAACTATAAGTGATACCTCAACTATATTTGGTTTGTATATTCCTCTTGAGGTCTACATGGGAGTTTGACATGTTACCTGACCTTGCCCTCATTTTCATGATCCAGTGATTTTCAGTCAGAACTTATTTAGCCTTTGTAGTATGATTAAATCTGTTGAAAGAAACACATGCCCAACATAGTTGAAGATAATTACTGTGTCAAGAACAATATTGCGTCAAGCAAATTACTGTTCAAAAGTTATACACTTCTACTAGAAAAGTTAACATATACCAAAGTGACAAGAACTATAAATCCATACAGACACTACAATGGTCATGGTCAATAAAGAGAAAAGGACAAACAGTCAAAACAAACATGGCATCGAAAAGTAAAGTTTGAGTAACACAAACCCTTCCCAAAAAATTGGGCTAAAATCATTTGCTTGATTTGATAAATTTGAAATCATGAAATTAAAGATGGACACTTGAGAATGGCCTAGACATTAGAGGAGATTGAAAATACATATTGACATAATTTCTAGTTTTGAATTTGGTCAATATGATCCATTAATCATAATTATGACCCAGCAGAAAAAAAAATCAATATTTCATGTCATTCTTAAAATCCACTGCCTACAGTTTTTCATTGAACCATTAAGAAATACATGTAAATCATTCTACTTGCACTTAACAATAACTATTCTTATACCCAGGTGAGTGTTTCAGACACAGTTTATTTTAAATTTTACAACTTTTGGCCTCATGGTTGTCATCAAATTAAAAAAAAGTTATAGTAATTGTGTTAAATGTTTTTAAGCTTGCCTTTTTTTTTGTATAAAGGTGTATATGCCTCTGTATTTCAGATGGAATTTTTCCAAAAGGAGAATTTGAATCTTTATGTGAGGAAAGCTGTGCCTGTTTAAAGAAGGGAATGTCTAAATTCCAGTCAGTAGGTGATAAAGCTAACAAGGCCCTTCTTATGTCCAATAAGGGTAGACTGTATCGTGTAAAGGCACAGGAACAGTCGCAGAGTTCTAGAACTGCAGGGAAAGAATTTAGTGTTGAAGAAAGAAATTCATGCAAACAGGTAAACATATTGTTGATTTTGGCATGTTTTTACTGGCATTTTCAAGTCAGTAATTCTGTCCATCTAAAACACACAGAGAGGACCTAGATAGTGCCATTCATAAATCTAAAATTTTTCCTATGACATAATTTAAACTTTGTACAGTAATCACACACAGATTGAAGATATGTATTTGAATTAGTTTTTCTCATGTTTCCCATGTATGGAACCTTAGTCTTTTTTTTCAAAATTGATATAAAGAGTACCTAATTTGTGTCTGACACCTTTAAAACAGTTTTATTTCAACATTGAGGGGTGTTGAAATCCCATGCCAAACTTGCCAGACTTGTATCTCAGACCGGCTGGACTTTTGTCTTGGTAGCCTGCGTACAAGCAAGAAAATGTTACTCAACAATGCTCAAAATTAAAACAAAATATGCAAATTGCCTCTAGATGTCTGTTGGTATTTTTTGTTGTTTGGTTGCCATCTCATTGATATCAAACCCACACCTCATTCATGATCAATTTATACACATAAAAAATATATCATCATTCATTTGTGTCGTTGATAACTATATGAGTGTAACAGTTTTGTCATCCCTGATTCCAAAAGATTTCATTGAAAATTATTCAGACTTTGTGTTCAGGGCCTGAATATCTTCATTTTTAACTTCATTCTGTTATATACAAACCCTACACAACATACATATATATAAATGATAAGTTATATCTGGCTTCACTGCATCAAAAAATAAAACTTTCCTTAGTCTTAGAATTTTCAAAAATACCATGAGAACAACCACGCTCATGCATTTTGGTTAGATCAACAAAATTCTTACAATTTTTGTACCTTTATGGCATTTATGAAAGGCTTTTCTGCACACCAGCACTGTACAATGCAGTACGATACCTTTATCAACTATATTTAAATCCAAAAATGTATATGGGACATTTAGACTTTAAAACCAACAATGGGTTAGAGAGAACAGAAAAAGATACATAGATAAGCCTTAGACAGTTGTATTAAAGTAAAAGTGCAATTTTGTATCTATTCAATCATATCTATAAAGAAGCAATGAATCCTGTCATACAATACCCTTCTCCATGAACAGACCATTAATAGTTATAGTTTACCTTGATAGCAAAATGAAAGTACAAGTTAAAAGTATGTTACATAAAAATCATTATAAACGGTAAATGATGGTGAAAGATCTAAGAAAATGGTGGATAAATAGCAGTAAACCTTGGTCATATTTTTCTATAGATATAGGAAGATGTGGTATGAGTGCCAATGAGACAACTCTCCATCCAAGTTACAATTTATAAAAGTAAACCATTATAGGTCAAGGTACAGCCTTCAATACGGAGCATTGGCTCACACTGAACAGCAAGCTATAAAGGGCCCCAAAAAATTCCTAGTGTAAAACCATTCAAACGGAAAAACCAACGGTGTAATCTATATAAAAACAAGAAACGAGAAACACGTATGAACCACATAAACAGATGACAACTACTGTAATAAGATTCCTGACTTAGGACAGGTGCAAACATTTGCAGCGGGATTAAACGTTTTAATGGTACCAAACCTTCTCCCTTTTCTGAAACAATATAGTATAACATCACAACAAAGAAAAACACACTATAAAATATCAATTGGAAGGCTTAACTCAATCAAAAAACGTAAATAAACACACAATGAACGAATAAATATGCATCTATACCTCACACTGTTTTGATACTTCATTTGAAACCATAAGTACTGATGACAAATTTTATTTAATGAATGGTTTCCCATTTCAATATAATATTTGAATGCATTGTATAGCAAGTAATATTCCATTTAGAATGTAAAGCTAATGCAATATAATAATCATCTCTGTATAATATTTACCACTATTAGTGGACCCTAAAATATAATAGATTATAACTCACACACTGTGCCTTATTTGCAATTTATATCTTTTTTTAAAACATATAATCTTTCTTTTTTTATATTGGGTAATCTGACATCTAAGTATGTATTACATGTATAGGCAATCAACTGTTACCAGAAAGCATTGGAGATTTTGAAACATAGAGAGAGTTTCCAAGAGATTTGGGATTCCATATGCTGGGAGTTATCAACAACTTTTTTTAACATGGCCATATTGCTACAAGATTATGCTCCAATATCTTCTACATCACAAGAAGAGGTATAATTTAGACTAGTTAAAGTTTATTAAGTGCCAAGCATGAGTTTCTCAGAGCAATGTTGTGTGTTTAATTTAGCTACCTTGATGTATTAGTTAATATGACGTGTGAAATACAAGATATTGTTGGTTCTGTTTAAAAGCATTTTTTTTCTGTTTTATTTAATATATCATTACAATATTGCAATACACAAACATTATTTATTTTGTTTTTTTCAATAAGACCAAATGATGGTTGGCTCATAGTATGAATCATATGTTCAGGTATATGTTGCTGGTCCTTATAAAAATGAAAGTAATGAAAGGAGTTTCTGGTGATTATATTGATTAAGTAAATTATTGGACCAATGCATATACTAAACTTAGTCCTCTTTTACATTGGTTATTTATAATTCTTATAATCCCATAAGTTAAACATAAATAATACTTGAGACAAACACAAATGATATAAAACAACAACCAAAAGAAACTGATTTGAATGCACACATATATATACAAGCAAAAATGATTTAGAGTCCCCTGTCCTCAGCTCTAAAGACTGTTAAGGACCCTTTTTTTCACTTGGTTTATATTTGAAGGATTTAGCAGTAAAGCTAGTTCTTCAGTATCAGAAACATTTTGAAATATTTCATTAACTATAGCAATGTCTTTTAAAAGATTAATACATAGTTATTTGCTATTTTTACGATTTAGGAGATAGTGGTATTCATCTTCTATGATTTAACAGGTTAGACATATTCTTTGATTTAAAGGTAAATTGAAATATCTGCCCTTTTCTTTCAATAAGTTATCGTCCCTTATTCTTATTTTCCTAAATAAACTTCTAGTTTCAAAACGTGTGCGCATGCTCTGAATGGTGAGGAAGTCTTTTTTTCGACAAGACAAAAAAATGTAAAAACATGGATTTCTAATACTCTTTTAGTCGGAGGTCTGAGTATTAAGGACTAAAAAAAGTGATGTTAATGTGATACATGATGCCAATGGTATAAAATCAGGAATAGTCAGTATGATATGACATTTCATTAAAGATTGTGTGTGTTTCTCAAACGTGAACTGTTCTCAACAGACTAGCAGTATTCGAATACTAATGGTACATGTGTAATTACATAAACACAAACATAAACAACATTTACAAAAACTTAACGATATCCATAAACAATCCATATGCTTGGTATTTACGACAAAGTGTGATCCTTATATCCTCTTCTATCGACTTATCATCTCCAACTTTAAATGCAAACACCAGACAATTCACACAGACTCCGTCGTCACAGCAAACCTACACCACCTCAACCAGAGTCCAGTAAAAAGTTTCTCATGTCTTCTCCAAGTTCCTCGCCCGTCCGTATCGACACTTCAGAGATTCATCAAGCTCCCGTTGCCGCAGGGCTTAGCTCACTTCAGTATCAGCAAAATACAGAAACTTCATCACAACCAAGTATTGAAATCTTAGAACAACCAATCACATGTAAACTAGCACAGTCGGATAAAGTTGAAATAGCATTACAACTAAAAGAAATGATACATGGTGAGATCGACTATACAATAAAAGCTACAGTCAGTCAGTACAAATCTGAAATAGATAGGTTTTCTAAGGAAAATCAAAAGCTACGTGACGATTTAGATGCACCTGAGCAATACGGAAGTCGGGACCTCATTCGTGTTAATGGCATTCCTGATGGAGGGAAAGAGGAAACATCAACGAAAACAACTGAGCTGGTTACTGAAATGTTAAAGACAACGATTTGGCTCCCGGAGATGTTATTCATGCACACAGAATTGGTCGACCTTACAACCCGGAAGATGCTGGCGAAAACAGGGCAAACCATACTTCGAAACGTTCGAGACAAATAATAGTCAAGCTCCAAGATCACGTTGTTAAAAAAAGGATCCTAAGATGCAAAAAACACCTTAAAGAAAAGAGGGATCTGAAATATATCAGAATTAACGAGGATCTAACAAAGGAGAGAAACGCTATCACCTATAAAGCTAGACAGCTTAGCATATAACATTTGATGAGAGACACCTGGATGGAAAAATTTTCGTTAAGGACAATCAACTACAAGTTCATGTTGTCAATACCATGTCATCTTTCCTTCACTTCGTATCAGTATACTGCTCTCCCGGTGCTATGGATTTACTACAGAGACTCGATTACAACAGGAAACTCAATAGGCGCGAGTATACTCCTCCAAAGCTCATAACATACGCTGAAGCAACGACAAGGTCTTCAGACACAAACAACCAAACCTCTGGTGACCCCATGTTTTAATAATGTACATCTAACTGTTTACATTAAAACAATTGTATATATTTCCATGATTATTAAGATTTAAGTCCTATTTGACATCATCGATGAATTAATAATCACATTATCTTCCATAGTTGTAATCAAAAAGGTCATTTAATGAAATAAGTAATATATTTATATTCTTTTCTTCCCAAGGACTATTAAATCTGTTCTACTATGTAGCTTGTCGTTTAGTGCAGAATGCTCTTGATAATCTTATAAGTATGAACTGCTCTAATATATGATGATGTCAAATAGTGTGCTATATTTCCCTTGTTTCTTGCGTTTAATTCATGTGTTCTTTTTTTGTTTAAGTTTGTTTTTTCTCTTCCTCTCATTTTCGAATTTACATATATCTGATTATTATCAATACCCACGTTGTCAAGGCTATGTAAATTATTCTCAGTCCTGTTAATTTACACGCGAATACTTACCTTGATCGCTGATCTGTCACGTGAAATGTGTAAACGTATTGAATTCACAACAGAAACTATCATAGTAGAATTTATAACTGATGCGTGAAAATGATAAAGTAACGGTTGTCATACATAACGTTAAAATCCTCACTTAGGAAAGTATATATATGGCTCACTTCACGCTTCTATAAATTGAACAAAATTAACCTTCTGGCACACCAGTCCTTAAAACATAATTAAGGAGATATTACATTCAATTTTTCTAATTTAATGGTAGACAAGCGAACTTTATACAACACGTACAGCGAATTGTGCCGTGCTTGCTTACTATATTGTAAAATGTATAGACAGATCTTGACAAATTCAGCGATCAAACAATCAATCAAAACTAGAACAGAGTTATTTTGACACGGTTGTCTTTAACATTTGTTTTGAATTAATGTAGATGAAAGTTTTATCATTCATCAATAATAGTTATACGTGTGTATACTCATTCCTCCTAACTACTTGTTCAATCATGTACATGTGCATCCTTTTTCTTTTGTTTCATGCATATTACATATTGTTATTCAATTTTTTTTGTTCTCACAAGTTTTTTATATTTTGTACTTACACTTTTTTCACAAAACAGATGAAATGCTATGGTTTATTAAACTTTGTATACGGCTGCTCTCAGTTTGACCAATTTCAGCCAGATGTAACATAATTCATGGGGGTAGGAATTGAATTATATCGTATGAGAGTTGGCCTATACTCATCAGGCAAAAACATCAAACAAAGATTAACTTATTTTGATTTTATCTGTATCAGCCTATTTCTCGTTTGTAAAAGTACTTCGCAGGCATTGGTGTTATCAGTATTAATCTTCATGTGTCCCATCAACTAGGCGTTTGTCTTAAACCCTCAGAGATGAAACATGTAGACTCAAATGTTCAAAAAACACCCAGTGTAAATGTGAATCTTCAACTATTTATTATTTCATTTTTACTATTTGTTATACAAATTTTGCTTATTCTAGCAGGAATAGAGGTAGATCCAGGTCCAAGTGACGATATTGATTCTTCTCAAAGTTCAATTAACTCAACTGACTTGTCGGAATTCGGTGAACTTTTTTCAAAATCAGTTTCAATTCTTCACTTAAATATACAAATCCTAGCCCCTAAAATAGATCTGATACAAGCTGAGTATTCTGACTTCGACATTTTAGCGTTTAGTGAAACCTGGTTAAACAATAATCATACAGACGAATCAATTAAAATTTTAAATTACCAGAACCCCTTTCGTCGTGACAGAGGTCCACACAAGGCTGGAGGGGGGATAATTGTTTATGTAAAAAATGATATACATGTTCAATGTCGAGCTGACCTCGAAAGCACAAATTTGGAAGCAATATGGTTAGAACTAAAATTCAAAGTTAAAAAGGCTTTACTCAGAACCTTTTATATACCTCCCAATAGTGGTTTGGATATCTGGGAAAAAATTGAATATTCTCTTGATATGGCGTCCAATGATAATACTATTAATTACATAATGGCCACAGGCGATTTTAACAATAACCAACAAGCTCCTGTCAATTCAAAAATAACATCTTTGTTAAGCCAATTTAGTCTTACTCAAATGATAGATGAACCTACTCATTTTACTGAATCGTCATCATCATTGTTAGATCTTTTTATAACAAACGATGCTCACATAATAACATACTGTGGAGTCAGGCCACCTTTATTAGACCAAATACGTTTTCACTGTCCTGTAATTAGTCTTTTGAACTTTCCAAAATGTCGTCAAAAAACTTTTAAGCGAAAAATTTGGCTATATGATCGCGGAAATTATGACAGATATCGTAACATCTTATCCGAAAAAAATTGGGATTCCGTAATAAACTCTAATAATGTTGGAACAATTTACAACTGAAATAACAAAAACTATTATAGAGGCCGATGAAAAATGTATTACAAATAAAATAATAACTGTTCGGAAAAATGAACCTCCATGGCTAACAAATGATATTAAAAAAAAGATAAGGAAAAAAAATAGAATCCACAAAAAGGCTAAAAAATATAATAACCAATCGGATTGGACAAAATTTAAGAAAATTCGAAATGAAGCTACTAGCTTAATAAGAAAATCAAAGGATGATTTTAACAACAATTTAATTACAAAAATCAGGAACAGTAACCCGTCAACTACTTATTGGTGGAAGACGGTCAAACAATTATCTGGATTAAAAACAAACAACTCAAGTGTACCTCCATTATTGGTTAATAAGAACTTAATATTTGATGAAATCAAAAAGGCAAATGAATTTAATCGTTTTTTTTTCTTCCCAGTCAAATATTGATGACTCAAGTGCTATGTTACCTGAAGAACTCCATAATATTAGTGATGTCATTAGTAATATAGATCTAACTGTTACTGAAGTTGAAGATATATTGAAAATTGTTAATCCCACAAAAGCTTCTGGTCCAGACCTCATAAATCCCAAATTATTAAAAGAAGCATCTTCTGTATTAAAGTTATCATTATGTAAGCTATTTAACTTATCCTTATGTACGTCTACCTTTCCAGATCAATGGAAAAGAGCAAATGTAACCCCAGTATATAAAAATAGTAAACTGAATGAGGTGAAAAACTATAGACCTATTTCGTTGTTGAGTGTAGTTTCAAAGTATGGAACGCTGTGTATATAATAAATAAAATTGAGAATGGAAATGGGGAATGTGTCAAAGAGACAACAACCCGACCATAGAACAGACAACAGCAGAAGGTCACCAACAGGTCTTCAATGCAGCGAGAAATTCCCGCACCCGGAGGTGTCCTTCAGCTGGCCCCTAAACAAATATATATACTAGTTCAGTGATAATGAACGCCATACTAAACTCCAAATTGTACACAAGAAACTAAAATTAAAAATAATACAAGACTAACAAAGGCTAGAGGCTCCTGACTTGGGACAGGCGCAAAAATGCGGCGGGGTTAAACATGTTTATGAGATCTCAACCCTCCCCCTATACCTCTAGCCAATGTAGAAAAGTAAACGCATAACAATACGCACATTAAAATTCAGTTCAAGAGAAGTCCGAGTCTGATGTAAGAAGATGTAACCAAAGAAAATAAACAAAATAACAATAATACATAAATAACAACAGACTACTAGCAGTTAACTGACATGCCAGCTCCAGACTTCAATTAAACTGATTGAAAGATTATGTCTTCATCATATGAATATCAGGCACAATCCTTCCCGTTAGGGGTTTAGTATCATACCATCATAACATATATGAGAAGAACATAACCCGTGTCATGCCAACAACTGGTTTTTAAATAAATGTGTTTAGTGCCGATGCAAAGACCCTATAAGTGAATCAATATTAACGCCAAAATATGCAATCTTTAATGACCTGACAACAGTATCGTAACTATATCCCTTCTTAATAAGTCTATTTAAAGGTTTTGTTAGCTTCAGAGGTGAATATTGACATTTTTGTGCTTTATAAAGAATATTTCCATAAAAAATTGGATGTGAAATACCTGAACATATAAGAAGTCTGCATGTTGAGCTATATTCACGAATGATGTCCTTATACCGATGATAAAATTTAGTAAATGTTTTGACTAGTTTGTGATATCGAAAACCCTGGTGTAATAATTTTTCAGTAATACATAAATTTCTCTCGTTATAATCTAAAACATTGTTACATACACGAGCGAATCGTACAAGTTGAGATATATAAACACCGTAAGATGGTGACAAGGGAACGTCACCATCTAAAAATGGATAATTAACGATAGGAAACGAAAAATCATCTCTTTTATCATATATTTTAGTATTAAGCTTTCCGTTAATGATATAGATATCAAGATCGAGGAAAGGGCAGTGGTCATTGTTAGTATTAGCTTTATTTAAAGTAAGTTCAACAGGATAAATTTCTTTAGTATACATACTGAAGTCGTCATTATTGAGAGCCAAAATATCATCCAAATATCTAAAAGTATTATTAAATTTGTGTATCAGATGTTGTTTCGATGGGTCTTTGCTGATTTTTGTCATAAATTGTAACTCATAGCAATACAAAAAAAGGTCCGCAATAAGTGGTGCACAGTTAGTCCCCATTGGAATTCCGATAACCTGACGATATACGGAATCTCCAAAGCAACATGTTTACAATCACTTAAAGAGTAATAACATTTTAACAAAAAATCATTCAGGCTTTACACGGGAGGATTCAGCGGTTAATCAATTAATTATATCTCAAATGACTTTGGAAAAGCTTTAGATAGCGGTAAAGAAATTAGGGTAGTATTCTGTGACATAAGTAAAGCTTTTGACCGAGTGTGGCATAAAGGACTACTATTCAAACTACAACAAACGGGCATATAGGTTCTTTATTAAAGTGGTTTGAAAATTATCTAGCAAATAGAGTCCAGCGGGTGGTTATTAACGGTTCATGCTCTGAATGGCTACCTGTAAATGCAGGCGTCCCACATGGGTCCATTCTGGGCCCTTTCGATATTCATGCTCAAATTAAACTATTTGCAGATGACACTTCATTATATATTATGGTTGACAATCCAACAGAAGCAGCTACAATTTTAAATAACAATTTAGATAAGATTTATAATTGGTCAAAGAAATGGCTTGTGAATTTAAATGCCCAAAAGACTGAAAGTATGATAATTTCAAAAAAATAAATAGACCCTTTCATCCTCCATTAAATATGAATACCCAAGAGCTACAAATAGTTAGTAAACACAAACATCTAGGTGTCTTTTTTTCTAACAACAGATCCTGGAATGACCATATTGAATATATAATCTCTAAATCTTACAAAAGAATAAATATAATGAGGAAAATGAAAAATGTTCTTGATAGGTTTACATTTGAAAAAATTTACATATTATTTGTTCGCCCAATTCTCGAATATGCAGATGTCGTTTGGGACTCTCAAAATCAGAATTTGATTGCTAAACTTGAAAATATTCAGCTTGATGCAGCGCGTATCGTCGGACCCGTCTATATTCTGATTATTTTATCCCAGCAACAACAAAACTATGGAACACTCTTAACTTAAACATAAGAAAATGTGAATCTCTACCATTATTCAAAAAACAAATTTGTACCCAAAATAGTAAGGCCCCAATGTATTATTATGTAGGACATCGTCTTGGTCAAATTCTTCATGCTCGCTTAAGAATCGATTCAAGTTCATTAAATTCTCACCTTTTCCTTCGCAATTTAGTATTTAGAAACAAATTCTCACTTCTTGTTATCTTGTACCATATACACTGATTTAAGACATGAACTATTCGCTTCTGTTTCAGTTCTTCCTGTCCAAGTTGACACAGAAATTTTGCTTTTTGAATCAACGGTACTCTCAGATGAGCAAAATAGTCATTTATTTAGTTTGGTGCGGAAATATATTATCAAAATCAAACGTTTTAATCTTTGATGTTACTGCTACATTATACAATAGGAACTCAAGCATTTCACACTGTATACTTTACAAATTCATGTTTATTTTTGTGTTTTTTTTTTGTTCTTTCAATTTTGTATTCTCCACCTTTTCCAGATTTAAATATTTATTACAAGGCATGCCAGTATTTATATTTATGTATTGTTCAATAGTGTATTATTTGTGTAAAAGGAGACAGATTTGTAAAAGCAAATTTGCTTGTTTCTGAATCCTAATTATTTATTTGTTTCAATTGTTTTGTATCGTTGTGATAATTTATCTGAATAAATATTGTTTAAACTAAAATTTGGATGTTACTTTTTATTAATAATCCAGTTTCATAGATACTATTAGCAAACAGTTATTTGGTGTATGGGATACTATACATATAAACTATAATAATATTTTTTAATAGGTTGAAAAAGAAGTTGCTGTTTTAATGAATAAATCATTACGATATTGCAATACACAAACTACTTCTGCCAAGCAACCAATGTATACCTACAGAGCTGGAACTATTAATCATCGACTTGCTTCTTTATACCACAATGGACTTAGACAACAGGTAACTTGAAAGTTTTTTCACTCATTAGAGGTATTTTTTCCCAGTTTTAAATCTGAAGATACCAGAATCCTTCCCTGATCTGACCATTTCCTGATAAAGTCCAAATTGAGAGTCTAAATTTGCATAGCACTTGATACATTCATTACAGGAGACTCTGTGTATTTCAAATTCTGATTTAATTATGCAGTCCCAATACTCTTACTTACATTAATTGTTACCTCTGAAAACTTGTTTGTTTAATTACATTAACAGTAAAAAATTGATAACAGTATTGATAGGTGTGCAATTTTAAACAATTAAATTGTTTACACAATCTTTTAAGGTAAAGAATTAGGATTGTGAACTTAAAAGCAGTAAACTGTTTCTACAAGCACTATCAAGTTGTCATAAAAAAGATAGCTCATATAAACAACATGGAGAATGTATGCATGCCAAAAAAATGAATATTGCTTATGAATAACCATATGAATACACTGTTGCCAAAAAGGTCTCGTAAAGAAATTGTGTTGTGACATCATTAAATTTTTGAAATAGTAGAGTGAGACATTCACATCTGGTTTTTGTAATGCTGGGTTCACTGTAGCGAACCCTGATGAAGTTGATAACCCTGACAAAGGAGAAGACCCAAATGATGACACTCCAGTGTCAGAGTAAATGAGTTTGGTATGACAATGCTTCGGTCATATTGAAATTTCGTTTGATAAAATGTTTGCTATTGAATCAGCTATACCAATGGAAGATATCCATTGGGTCAAACCAAAATCTTTAAAATAAATATTTTCTGCATCTCCACTAATCAAGGATTAAGAGCAAAGACTAGTCGGCCCAGAGTCAGAATAATGTGTCGGGGTAGGTTGACATGTCTTCCTGTGGACTGTTACATTGTGAATTTCAACTAGCACATTAAATATCCAGCTCAGCGTGTTAGTTTAGTACAAAGCGGGATATATTCATATTACATTAACATGTTTTCATTTATCCTGAATATGCATTTAATTTACCACTGGAAGTTAAACAGCAGTAATCCATCCATCCTGTAGTTGAATACCATATATACTTGAGTACAGGTCAATCTCCTTATAAGAAGGTTGCTTTTTTCAGATTCAAATTCTAGGGAGTCACATACGTCTGTGAATTTTGAGCTATTATCCATGTTTGTGTGTGTGTTCAGTACAGCAGACAGTAGACAATTGCTAATATTCATAAAAATACATAACTTAATAAAATCTAAATTAACCAATAAAAAGTCCAAGTTTTTATGCACCATTTTCAACTTAAACTACATCAAAATATTCTAGGAAAAAAAATACTCCTCCAACCCTTGAGTTATATTCTGTAATGAATATTGTGTTTTGTGTCGTATTGTAAACTCTTATGTTTAAATTTAAATTCAGGAAAATGAGCAAAAACAGAAGTATCTGAAACAGTTGGCTGAGAGTCATTACAGTAAAGCTATAAGATATTTCCAATCTGTTGACAGCACACTTGAGCTTTTCCGTGTACAGTTAGAACAAGTGGCTTTGCAGGAATATATTTTATCTTGTAAGTACTTTTTATTGACCAAGGTTTGCTTTGATTGTCAATTATTGTATAAAATTGTCTTTCTGACAGAAATAAATCCAGAATTATGATATATTGGAAAAAACAAATACAGCTTATTTCATCACATAAATCAAAAATTGTTTTGGTTTCATCAGCTTTTCAATGCTTGTATTAGGTTTTATAATTTCAAATATTATGGCTTCAAGCATCACTAAACAGACATTCATTGGTAAAATATGTAATGACAATGCAAATCTTATATTTAAACATGATAAACATTAAAACATATTAAAACCTTTAACCAGCAAAATAAGAATTTAAAATGATACACAGTTTTCACCTTATCATTAAAACAAAGAAATAAATTCAAAGATTAAAACTAATTTGCTCTTAGGGCTGTGATTGTGTATAAAAGCAATAGAAAAAGGAAAATTATTTATAATGTATTGCTTATATTTGTATATTCTCCTTTACTCATTTGTAGCACAAATCAACAGCAGAAGTAAACAAAGAACATTGACATTAGCTTTGTCTTATATATTGTCTTGCCATGATATTCTACAGAAGATTTTGAAACAGTCACAGGAGCCAGATTTTGATGAGAAATCAAAACAGGAAGCTGTAAATTTGTCTGATATTTTACAATCTCGACTTCAGTTTGTGTTACTGCAGATAATGAAATGTCAGACTGGCAATAAGAAGAGGTAACCTAAAGTGTTAATTATTATCCATTACAGATTGTATATGTAAATACTGTAAATTCAGAAATTATTTCAAGGTTTTTACTTATGTAAATAATGTAATTAAATGACTATTGCAATAATAAGAACTTGCATTCTGATATCTTATGCATATGTCTGTATGGACCTTTTCCTGAAATCGTAATAACTAATTTTTGTCCATTCTTTAAAAATCACAATAATTTCTGAACTTATAGTAGAAGCAATTTCAAAGTTTTTAGTGTAGGCTTGTTGGTGATAAAAGAACAAAATGTTTTTATGCACCCGCCATAGCGGAGGGGGCATTAAGTTTTACCCTTGTCCGTCTGTACGTACGTACGTCCCAAAATTGGTTTCTGTTCTCTAACTTAAGTTTGTCTCAACCAAATATTATGAAACTCATACACAATGCTTATTACCACAAAATACAGATCAAGTTTGAATTTTGGTAGCTTCAATCGAACCGTTCTGGAGTTATGCCCCTTTATCAATGGAAAATTACAAAATTTTTAGTTTCCGTTCTCTAACTTAAGTTTGCAAGGTACCATACCACAAAGGGAAGGCTGGGATTGAGTTTGGGGGTGATGAATCATAAGGGGGTTCAAAAAATTTGGGGGAGGGATTTTTTTTTCCTTTTTTTCCTTTTTTTTTCTTTAAAATTTTCCATTTTAAATTTTTAAATCGGTTATTTCTGATTTATATATAAAAGCAAATAATAATGATATGGTTTGAATAGGTAAATTAAAAAGTTCTTAGACCACATTCATTCTGTGTCAGAAACCTATGCTGTGTCAAATATTTAATCACAATCCAAATTCAGTGCTGTATCAAGCTTGAATGTTGTGTCCATACTTGCCCTAACTGTTCAGGGTTCGACCTCTGTGGTCGAATTAAGCTGCGCCCAGCGGAGCATTTTATTAAAAAGAGGGGTCCATGTACTCGTTTTCAAGTTAAATCAGTTTAAATCATAAAAAAACAGTCGAAAATGCATCTTTTCCCGATATATCACAGTTTGACGTTGCGAAAATAACATTTTACGTTAGCAACGTCATTACCTCCCCTGTAACTGTATTGGATGCCCTTAACCGTTCTAGAGTTATGCTCCTTTATAAATGGAAAAATTGCAAAATTTTTAGTTTCCATTCTCTAACTTAAGTTTGCCTCAACCAAATGTTATGAAACTTATACACAATGCTTATTACCACAAAATAAAGATCAAGTTTGAATTTTGGTGGGGTCACTTTAACCATTCTCGTGTTATGCCCCTTTATAAATGGAAAAAAATGCAAAATTTTTAGTTTCCGTTCTCTAACTTAAGTTGTTATGAAACTTATACACAATGCTTTTTACCACAAAACACAGATCAAGTTGAATTTTGGTGGCGTCACATTAATCATTATCTAGTTCTGCCCCTTTATAAATCGAAAAATTGCAAAATTTTAGTTTCCGTTCTGTAACTTAAGTTTGCCCCAACCAAACATTATGAAACCTTTACACAATACTTATTACCACAAAACTCAGATCAAGTACAAATTTGGGTAGCGTCACTTTTATTGTTCTTGAGTTATGTCCCTTTATAATGTTGTATGCAAGCGGGGGCATCATCTGTGTCCATGGGGACACATTCTCCATTTATTGTTAAATATCCTGAATAACTTTTGAGATGGCCCAAAACAGACAATGTTTGTGCAAGGACGACTGAATATTTACTTGCTCTACAGGATGCTTATAGTGTGCAGTTAATGTTCTTAAGGCGATATCTTAGGAATAGTTTTCTCTACTGGTATAAGACCAGTTTCTGTAAATTACAAGTTATCTTCACCTGGCATATTGTGCAATAACAGAGGCATTAATAATACATACTGCTTTTATCATCACTACTTTTGTACAAATTCTTTTCTGTTTGATCTGATTAAGATAGTGAAATACTGACTTATTTGAACACTTCATGGGAAGATACACTTGTTGGAACATATAGTCATTGCTTTATGATGTCCTTGATTTTGGAAAACCTACTGCTAAACAGTTTACAAAACAAAATCTAAGCTTGCTGCAGAACATTAAATTTTTTTCAAAGGAATTTACTGTGCATATCTTTTTACCAAATTGCAGTTTGAATTCACATCCACAAACTGATCAACTGGTAAGGCATTTAAGCTCATGGCTTTAGTGAAAGGTTGTTAGTATGAAGCAAGTGCAGTAAAAAAGAACCATTCTTATGCTGCAATTTACTTGTTATATGATAAAATGGTGTAATTGTAAGCAACTATCTGTATGGAACACCTAGACGAAAAACGTATGACTTTGATTAATCAACTTCAAGCATAATCACATTTTAAAAGTCATTTGCTTCAAACATTGTTACAATGGATATCGAACAAGCATCATGTGTTCTGAATAAAGCACTGAAATTATTTGTTTGATGTGTTGAATTTTAGAATAAAATGTTGAAAACATCATAATAAAGGACATAATTAATAGTTGCATTACATTCTCCTGTCTAGATACAATATACATTATCTCCCTTTGATATTAGCAGATGAGTATAAATTACAATTAGAAAATAAATGGTAGAATAAATTCCTTAAAACATTTCTGTTATTTCTTTTGTGAGAAAACACAGAGATGTATACTTCGATATATAAAAGCCTGATCCAGAAGAACTATCAACCTTGGCAAACTTTGTAATTCCATCTGGTATTCAGAAATATCAATTAAATGACCCAAAGCAAACCAAAGCTATAGATTCACTTTTTGAGTATATTGCTGGAAGTGATTTACTCCCATTTTCAACAGTTGAAAGCAAAAGTTTAAGAAAATTTATAGAAAATCTTAACCCAAACTTTCAAATTCCAAGCCTAAAACATCTCTCATCTAAATTGATACAGACTAAGGCCAAGGATGTATGTAAATATTGTAAAATTTAGGATGTATGTATGTAGGCCAAGGATGTATGTAAAAATTGTAAAATTTAGGAAGCTAATCACATTTGTTTGACTGCTGTCATTTGGTCTATAAGGCAATGAAATGATTTTTATAATATCTATTTAATAGTTACCAAGATTGCAGTATAAAATGTTTTATGTATGTTTCTTCTGATAATAAAATTTATAAAATGTAATGTGTAATATAATGCATTAGTTTGGTAAAGTAATTGTAATTTAATGCATTACTTTACAAAATACATGTAATTGTAATATAATGCTGGTTTTGTTTAAGTAATTGTAATGTAATGCTTTACATTGCAATGTAATTTGCCCCATGCCTGATGCACAGTAAAGAGTTTTATAATTTCACTATTAAATTCTTTGCTCCTCTTCAATACAGTGTAAATGGTTGAATTTAAGTGACATAAACTTCAAATTCAGAAAAGAAGGAGACCTTCCAAAGACTGGAATGGTGATTTGTGTGGTTCATTTGACATACCTTCTACTGTTCTTGCTAAACAATAGCAAATTACCTTTAATGAAATTCTATCATTTAGTGGCTAGATTCATTGGTGGCAGTAACTGGTACTATACAATATCATTCCAAAATTGCCACACAAGTTACCCACTTTCTGTTGCTAATAAGAGTTAAAGAGTGAGTCTTTGGTGTTAAATCTAACTTTAGTTAACCGTTCATCTGTTTCAAGATTTTCCAAACACAGTTTCTGTTTTCATTATTCAAAGAAAAGTATGAATTTTTGACAGCAAACTAACTACTAGGATATTAAAGTGGGCCATCGCCAACTGAATTGGATGATCAGTGTCTGAACTGGTTATTAATACAGATCTAATACAGAAAAGCGGGTGAATACAGACTTTTTACTGGTCTTATTACAAGATTTTAACTTCCGGTTTTTGGTTCAAAAAAGTGTCAGAAAATGGATGTGTGTATTATTAGATTTCAACATGTTTGATGTGTAGAGTTGTTGTTATTTTTCATAAGTTATTATACTATTTTTATGCCCCCCCCCCCCCGTAGCGGAGGGGCATTAAGTTTTACCCTTGTCCGTCTGTACGTACATACGTACGTCCCAAAATTGGTTTCCGTTCTGTTCTCTTACTTTAGTTTGCCTCAACCAAATGTTAGGAAACTTATACACAATGCTTATTACCACAAAACACAGATCAAGTTTGAATTTTTGTAGGGTCACTTTTACCGTTCTAGAGTTATGCACCTTTACAAATGGAAAAATTGCTGAATTTATCGTTTCCGTTCTCTAATTTTAGTTTGCCTCAACCAAATGTTATGAAACTTATACACAATGCTTATTACTACAAAACACAGATCAAGTTTGAATTTTGGTGGCGTCACTTTTACCGTTCTAGAGTTATGTCCCTTTACAAATGGAAAAAAATGCTGAATTTTTAGTTTCCGTTCTTTAACTTTAGTTTGCCACAACCAAATGTTACGAAACTTATACACAATGCTTATTACCACAAAACACAGATCAAGTTTTGAATTTTGATGGCATCACTTTTATTGTTCTAGAGTTATGCTCCTTTAATAAATGGAAAAATTGCAAAATTTTTGTTTTCTTCTAAATATCAAGTAATTTTTAAAATTGGAGTTATCTCCCTTTGTCCATGATTATATTTGAATCAACTACAATCAATGCTTTATACAATGCAATGTTTAATTTTGACTTCCACTGATAAAACACAGATCGAGTTGAATTTGGGTAGTGTCACTTTAACCATTATTGAGTTATGCCCCTTTATAAATCGAAAGATTGCAAAATTTTTAGTTTCCATTCTGTAACTTAAGTTTGCCCCAACCAAACATAATGAAACCTATACACAATATTACCACAAAACTAAGACAAGTTCAAATTTTTGGTTTCCGTTTTCTAACTTTAGTTTGCCTCATCCAAATATTATGAAACTTATACACAATGCTTATTACTACATAATACAGATTAAAGTACGAAATTTGGTGGCGACACTTTTACCATTCTTGAGTTATGTCCCTTTATAAACATAAAAATTGCTGAATTTTTCGTTCCCGTTCTCTAACTTTAGTTTGTCTCAACCAAATGTTATAAAACTTATACACAACCGTTCTAGAGTTACGCGTGTTTACAAATAGAAAATTGCTGAATTTTTAGTTTCTGTTCTCTACTTAAGTTAACCTCAACCAAATGTTATGAGACTTACACACAATGCTAATTAGCACAAAACTCAGATCAAGTTCAAATTTGGGTAGCGCCACTTTTACCGTTCTTCAGTTATGTACCTTTATAACTATATGATATGCAAGCGGGGGCATCATCTTTGTCCACATGTGGACACTATCCACATTTATTTTTAATTAAATTTCAAGTTTTTTTTAAGAAACTATAATAGATGAAGGGAAACTTTAAGTGACAAAAATGTTCATCAAAATTAGATCTACGAATAAGTTAACATGACCAAACTGGTCAACTGATCCTTTATAGGAGTTATTGCCCTTGAAAGATTATTTACCAAAAGTTTAAATCTTTTGGAGAACCTACATGTATGTTGGACATGATAAACATTAAATGGCAAAGATCTTTAGTAAAATAAGACCTACAAATAAGTTTTGCCTCAACCAAATGTTGTGAAACTTATACACAATGCTTACTACAACAAAACACAGATCAAGTTTGATTTTTGGTGGCGTCACTTTTACTGTTCTAGAGTTATGCCCCTTTACAAATGGAAAAATTGCTGAATTTCTCGTTTCCATTCTCTAACTTAAGTTTGCCTCAACTAAATGTTATGAAACTTATAAACAATGCTTATTACCACAAAACAAGTACAAATTTGGGTATCGTCACTTTTACAGTTCTTGAGTTATGTCCCTTTATAACGTTATATGCAAGTGGGGGCATCATCTGTGTCCCATGGACACATTCCCCATTTATTTTCTTTGAGTATATACAGTTATGCATGGTAGATGAATATCCAGAACTATCAACAATTAAGGATTATTTTTCTGAGGGTTGAGTCCCAAGTGAGAGAAACTACTGTTGGGTTGACAATCTAGGATATGCACTGCTTCTTATGGGCCACATTTGTTTAATCATACCAAAAGGTCTCCAAACCTTTGAAAATACATGTTAAAGAAGCTCTTGTACATGTCTTACTGTAGTAACAAATAATCTGTAAAAACACTTACCGGTATGTCAAAAAATTATTTGTACAGTCGTATTTGGTCAAGATTACAGGTTACTGCCAGTCAATTGATAATACAGAAATGCCCATAAACCATTGTGAAAGCATTATATAGTAGTTACTGCTCTGTTGGTCCATCAGTGAAATTGTGATTGTTTTTCCTGTTATTTGTTTCTGTAATAATAATATAGTACATGTAATAATATATTATAAATCATATCTTTAAAATGTAAACCCTTCAGTAAAAGTTTGCCTGTCTTTTTTTTTTACAGAATAGGGAAAACAGATATGGACAGAATAAAGACATTGTATGCATCTAGTTTGAAAATTGGAAGTGGAGAAACTACTGGATTAGAAAAACTACCTGTGATTTTGTGTATTTTAGATGACGTTAGAGTGTTTTATGAAGAAACTTTAGTGCATGAGATTCAACCTGGATAATATGACTATTTTTTGGATAATTTTTTTTAATACCTTTTTAAGAGATTCCAATGATATGTCAGTGATTATTTATTCTTTGTCTTTCATTTTACAACAAACAGTTTACAAATCTTTTAGAATTTGTTCATTAAACAGATATAATCAAGATTAGTTTCAAATTAGAAACATTCATCAGCCCTTTGATTAACTTTGTGATTAATGATAAGATATCATGTAATTGCCAAAATAAGTTATTTGTATAAATTTCCATGAGACAGTTATCTGTCGAAGATCTGAAGAAAATATTAAGGAATTTAGGCCACCAATGGGTCTTCAACGCAGCGCGAAAATCCCTCACCGGGAGGTGGTCCTCAGCTGGCCCCTAAATAAAATTGTGTACTAGTTCAGTGAAAATGGACGTCACACCAAACTCCAAAACATATAAAGGAACTAAAATTAAAAAAACATACAAGACTAACAAAGGCCAGAGGCTCCTGACTTGGGACAGGCGCAAAAATGTGGCGGGGTTAAACAAGTTTTGTGAGATCTCAACCCTCCCCCTATACCTCTAGCCAATGTAGAATAAAGAAACACATGGCAATACGTACAGAAAACTCAGTTTAAAGAAGTCTGAGTCCGATGTCAGAAAAGGTAACAAAAGAAACTAAGCAAAATGACAATGATACATAAATTAACAAAGGACTACTAGCAGTATGACATGCCAGTTCCAGGCCTCAATTAAACTGATTGAAAGATCACGTCTTCATCATATGAAAATCAGGTACAATCCCTCCCGTAGGGGTTAAGTATCATACCATCATAAAATATATGAGAACATAACCTGTATCATGCCAACAACATGACTGTAATAGTGTGCTCTGTTTTGGCATTGATGTAATTATACAATATACAATAAGCTGTGTTCGTGACATTCTTCTTTATGCTTTCCTATAAACTCAATTTTGCTAAACAAATCCAGCTTAAATCCCCGACCATTTGATTTTCAGGAATAATCTTAAACTGAAGAATTTGTGAATGTCTGTCTAGTAAATGATCGAAAAGGACATATTGTCTATTAAAATTTTTTAAAGTAACCAAACTGGATTATTTTTATACGCGCGTTTACGGGACTTATTATGGTATATACCTTTGACCGTCTGTCCATCTGTCCGTTGTCAACATGTCGGACATTAACTCAAAAAAGCTTTAACCAATACGCATGAAACTTTGGTGACTTGTTTATATCTATTGACGTGAGCTCCCTTTCATTTTTTATAAATTTCAGATTTACCGTTTCCGAGTTTTGGGGTTTTATTCATTAAAAAAGGGGGGATTTTCCAGTTTTCCGACAATAACTCGAGAATGCTTTCACCAACTTGCAAGAAATTTTGGTGAATTGTTTATATCTATTGACATGAGCTCCCTTTTAGATTTTTATAAATTTTAGATTTAACGTTTCCGAGTTACAGGGTTTTATTCATAAAAAAAGGGGGATTTTCCAGTTTTCGGACAATAACTAAAAAAGCTTTCAGCAGTTCTCATGAAACTTTGGTGAATTGTTTATATCTGTTGATGTAAGCTCTCTTTAGAATTTTATAAATTTTAGATTTTACATTTCTGAGTTATGGGGTTTTATTCATTAAAAAAGTGGGGATTTTCCAGTTTTTGGACAATAACTCAAAGTGCCTTCAGCAGTTCTCATGAAACTTTGGTGAATTATTTATAGCTATTGATGTAATCTCCCTATTGATTTTCATAAATTTCAAATATAACATTGAGAAGAAATTGAACTTTATTTGTTTATAGTCTGACAACAGATTTACTAAGTATTGCGCAACAGCACAGTGTATTGCACAACAGCAAGAAATCTTTAATTGAATATAAATTCAATTCATATAACCAATTTCAAGTCCTTTGACTACATTTATTCAGAAACCTATAATATGTCCAGTATTTAATTACAGTCCAAATTCAGACCTGTATCAAGCTTGAATATTGTGTCCATTTTTGCCCCAATTGTGTCCATTTTTGCCCCAACTGTTCAGGGTTGGACCTCTGCGGGCGTATCCAGCTGCGCTCTGCGTAGCAGTTTATTGTATAAAGCAAAGATACCGCAGAGTTCACAAAATCTTTTTTCCTTGATGTTCCTTGAAGAAAATTTCCTGGTTCTATCTATTATTTCTAATGCAAAATTTTGATGGTCAAAACCTTCGGACCACCACTTTTGGAAAACCTTAATTATATATGCATGTTTACAAGGTATATATACAAGGTCATGGCGTTTCTCAGGCTATTTAGGACTAAGTCAGTTGGTTATGTACTGATTGATACTTTAGTCTGGGAGAACAAGATTTATATAATGTTTAGTTGTAATTAGTTTTGAACAAACTTTCAGTAACTGCATATACTTTCATTTCTGTGTTTTGTGTCTATTGTCTTAATGTTAGTTGTTTTTTGTGTCTCGTACCGATCTTTTGAATTAATCTATTTGCAATTGATTTTTACAGTTTGTTCTTATGTTTTACTGTTACACAACTGTCCCAGTTTAGGGGAGTGTTGAGCACTCACAAACATGTTTAACCCTACCATATTCTTTATGTGCCTGTCCAAAGTCAGGAGCCTGTAGTCAGTGGTTGTCGTTGGTTCATGTCTGTCAACTTATATTTGATTTTTTGTACATTGTTTTGTTATATATAATTAGGCCGTTACTTTTTTCGTTTGAATTGTTTCACATTTTTCATGTCGGGGCCTTTTTTAGCCGACTATACGGTATGGGTTTTTGTCATTGTTGAAGGCCGTACAGTTGCCTATAATTGCTTACATCCACTTCATTTGAACTCCGGTAGATAGTTGCCTCATTGGCAATCACACCTTATCTCCTTATTTCTATATTATATACCTGACTTTTAAACTCGTGTTTTCCTGAACATGCATGAAATATTTGTCACTTGACGTTAAAAATAAGCAACCACTAACAATCAATCAATTTAAACTTTTGTTTTAAGATTGAATAAGGGGAAAACCATTTGATATTTTTTTGGGGGTGGGGTGGGGGACAGGTGGATTTTAAATATGAACATGCATGGTGGCCTGGTAAAGCTGAAATCTGAAAAAGGATGATTAGCAACAGATTAAAATGAATAATAAATCTGCAAAAAATCCTCATGCCCCCCTCCCCTCCCAATAATATCAAATAGTCGTCGTCCTACTAAGGCTGCAATACCATAAAAACACTTATCACACAGCTCTCATTCTATCATATCTACATATATAAATTTATATAATGTCATTTAGACTAAGCGACGCCATGTTTGTTATGTGCCTCTGCCGTATAAACTACCTATTTAAAAGGAAGAGGTAGAAGAGAGCCAGAAGATCTTCCCAATGCAAAAAACAGAAATGGACCTCTTCTGGCTCACTACTGAAGAACAAAAAAACATGCCCCAGGTTTAAACCACCATTTTCTACATAAGGAAAATGCCTGTACCAAGTCAGGAATATGACAGTTGTTTTCCGTTTCTTAGATGTGTTTGAGCTTTTGATTTTGCCATTTTATTAAGGACTTTCGTTTTGAATTTCCCTTGGAGTTCGGTATTTTTGTTATTTTACTTTTTACTTAATATTCAATAACTTTAATATCTTTCGAAAATAAGGGAAGTTCAACAATATTTTTTATTAAAGGTCAAAAGATGACTGAATATATTTTAAATTACCAAAATGGTACATGTATAACTTTGACACATATGGTTTTTTTTTAAGGTAAAAAATTTATTTTTATTCACATTACTACTACATTTTATGGATCCTTAATTTTCTGTATTTAGTTTTGTATTAACTTTAAAATAGACCTAAATGGAAATCTTAAATAAAAATTTAAATTTTAGAAAAATTAGGCCAAGCCAGTCCCTTCAACCACATTGTCCTTTGAATTAGAATGCAAGCTTCACTGTTATTGTAACAGTAAATTAGGTCCGGGAGTAAAATTTGTCAGCCAGACATTTTTCTGTAGGTAATCAAGTCCATGACTTTAATTCTACTAGGAATGTAAGTCCCAGGATAAATTTTCCTAGGTAAATATGTCCATAGCCAGTAAAATGTGTCTGGAACTTATTTTCCTAGGAAAATATATCCATATTCTCATTTTTTACTATGAAAAAAGTCCCTTTAAAATTTTAATTCTTAAGAAATTCTTTATATTCATCAATATTAGAATTAAGAAAGGAACATTTGTAATTATGTACATCATAAAAGTCTGTGATATCAATTTTCTTAGGAAAAAAGTCTGTTTTATTCCAAAAACAATTATTTTAAATTAACAATTAAAAGTTCCATTGTTTACATGTAAATAATTTCTTTCCTTCATTACAAATTTTCTTAATAGAATAAAGGACATGGATGTTTTTACCTAGGAATATTAATGACCTGGAAATTAATTCCCAGGAAAATCTGGGCACATAAATTTTATTAAAAGATTAATGCACAACTGTTAAACAACATTAAAACATAAAAATTAAAAAATCCATTGTTTACATGTAAATGATTTCTTTCATTACACATTTTCTTGGTAAAACAAAGGACATGGACGTTTTTACCTAGGAATATTGATGGCATGGACATGAATTCCTAGGAAAATTAGTCTGGGGACATAAATATACTTGTAAATTCTGTAACCATGGACTTTTTATACTAGTAATATTAATCTGCCCGGACACATTTTACCAGGACTAATTTATCTCTTACACAATTAATAGAACTGTTGGTTGAAGGCTTATTTTTGCAATTTTCATCCTCTTGTATTTGTAAGAGATAAATTTGTCCTGGTAAAATATGTCCGGGCGGACACATATTACTAGTATAAAAAGTCCATGGTTACAGAATTTACTAGTATTTTTAGTCCGATGTTAGTAATTTATGTCCCCAGACTAATTTTCCTAGGAATTCAAGTCCATGTCATCAATATTCCTAGGTAAAAACGTCCATGTCCTTTTTTTATAGGAAAAATATTAATGAATCAAATCATTTACATTTAAACAATATTGGAAATTTAAATATTAAGTTTTAATATTATTTTAAAAGGTAAATATAAATGTTATGTTTTAATATTGTTTAATAGTTGTGTATCAATTTTCTTAATATAATGTTTGTCCCGAGACTAATTTTCCTAGGAA